TGGATGCAACTCAGCATTCTTTGTCCTCCAAACACGACGAGTTGAGTTTTTACCAAAAAGTTCTATTTTGGTTTCATCTGACCATATGACATTCTCCCAATCCTCTTCTGGATCATCCAAATGCACTCTAGCAAACTTCAGACGGGCCTGGACATGTACTGGCTTAAGCAGGGGGACACGTCTGGCACTGCAGGATTTGAGTCCCTGGCGGCGTAGTGTGTTACTGATGGTAGGCTTTGTTACTTTGGTCCCAGCTCTCTGCAGGTCATTCACTAGGTCCCCCGTGTGGTTCTGGGATTTTTGCTCACCGTTCTTGTGATCATTTTGACCCCATCTTGCGTGGAGCCCCAGATCGAGGGAGATTATCAGTGGTCTTGTATGTCTTCCATTTCCTAATATTTGCTCCCACAGTTGATTTCTTCAAACCAAGCTGCTTACCTATTGCAGATTCAGTCTTCCCAGACTGGTGCAGGTCTACAATTTTGTTTCTGGTGTCCTTTGACAGCTCTTTGGTCTTGGCCATAGTGGAGTTTGGAGTGTGACTGTTTGAGGTTGTGGACAGGTGTATTTTATACTGATAACAAGTTCAAACAGGTGCCATTAATACAGGTAACGAGTGGAGGACAGAGGAGCCTCTTACAGGTCTGTGAGATTGTCATGAGAATTTCTATCTCTAATTCAACCTAAGCTTGAATCATTACCAGGGGTTGTAAGGCTCTGGTTTTAATCATAAATGATTCAAGGTCCACAACCAGCAAGAATGATCTGTATTTTTAATCATGGAGAGCTCTGGTGCCAAAAAACATACATACAGCTTTATACCCCCTGATACACAAAGGCACTTTGCTCCGCCCACCTTTAGGAGGCTGTTTTTAACCCGTTTTCTCAGTCCCCTTCACCCTGGAATGTTTAGTCCCGCCCCCCTCTGTTAGTGGGTTGCCACTAAATTATAGCTCTAACACCGTTCACACATTTATACTGTATTTGGGGTGAAATCCTTTAGTCATTATTCTTAAAATACAAATTAATCTATCAGAGAGCCAAAAATCTTGCTTGTTTGTAGGTGACCAAATACTTATTTTCCACCATAATTTGCAAATAAATTCATTAAAGATCCTACAATGTGATTTTCTGGAGAAAAAAAATCTCAATTTGTCTGTCATAGTTGACGTGTACCTATGATGAAAATTACAGGCCTCTCTCATCTTTTTAAGTGGGAGAACCTGCACAATTGGTGGCTGACAAAATACTTTTATTCCCCACTGTAGCTTGTTTTTGGTGGCAGGTTCAGGAATGGCTGAAAAATCACAATATTTACCTAAAACTAACTCTGCAAATAGCACTGCTGGATGATTTGATAAGCCATAGTCAATCGATCAATTACAGTGAGGGATTTAATTTTAATGGTAGGTTTATTTGAACAGTGAGAGACAGAATAACAACAAAAAAATCCAGAAAAACGCATGTCAAAAATGTTAATAAATTGATTTGCATTTTAATTAGGGAAATAAGTATTTGACCCCCTCTCAATCAGAAAGATTTCTGGCTCCCAGGTGTCTTTTATACAGGTAATGAGCTGAGATTAGGAGCACACTCTTAAAGGGAGTGCTCCTAAACTCAGCTTGTTACCTGTATAAAAGACACCTGTCCACAGAAGCAATCAATCAATCAGATTCCAAACTCTCCACCATGGCCAAGACCAAAGAGCTCTTCAAGGATGTTAGGGACAAGATTGTAGACCTACACAAGGCTGGAATGGGCTACAAGACCATCGCCAAGCAGCTTTGTGAGAAGGTGACAACAGTTGGTGTGATTATTTGCAAATGGAAGAAACACAAAATAACTGTCAATCTCCCTATGCCTGGGGCTCCATGCAAGATCTCACCTTGTGGAGTTGCAATGATCATGAGAACGGTGAGGAATCAGCCCAGAACTACACGGGAGGATCTTGTCAATGATCTCAAGGCAGCTGGGACAAAAGTCACCAAGAAAACAATTGGTAACACACTACGCCGTGAAGGACTGAAATCCTGCAGCGCCCGCAAGGTCCCCCTGCTCAAGAAAGCATATATACAGGCCCGTCTGAAGTTTGCCAATGAACATCTGAATGATTCAGAGGAGAACTGGGTGAAAGTGTTGTGGTCAGATGAGACCATAATCGAGCTCTTTGGCATCAACTCAACTCGCCGTGTTTGGAGGAGGAGGAATGCTGCATATGACCCCAAGAACACCATCCCCACCGTCAAACATGGAGGTGGAAACATTATGCTTTGGGGGTGTTTTTCTGCTAAGGGGACAGGACAACTTCACGGCATCAAAGGGACGATGGACGGGGCCATGTACCGTCAAATCTTGGGTGAGAACCTCCTTCCCTCAGCCAGGGCATTGAAAATGGGTCGTGGATGGGTATTCCAGCATGACAATGACCCAAAACACACGGCCAAGGCAACAAAGGAGTGGCTCAAGAAGAATAACATTAAGGTCCTGGAGTGGCCTAACCAGTCTCCAGACCTTAATCCCATAGAATATCTGTGGAGGGAGCTGAAGGTTTGAGTTGCCAAACGTCAGCCTCGAAACCTTAATGACTTGGAGAAGATCTGCAAAGAGGAGTGGGACAAAATCCCTCCTGAGATGTGTGCAAACCTGGTGGCCAACTACAAGAAACGTCTGACCTCTGTGATTGCCAACAAGGGTTTTGCCACCAAGTACTAAGTCATGTTTTGCAGAGGGGTCAAATACTTATTTCCCTCATTAAACTGCAAATCAATTTATAACATTTTTGACATGCGTTTTTCTGGATTTTGTTGTTGTTATTCTGTCTCTCACTGTTCAAATAAACCTACCATTAAAATTACAGACTGATCATGTCTTTGTCAGTGGGCAAACGTACAAAATCAGCAGGGGATCAAATACTTTTTTCCCTCACTGTATATTAGGACGAGCAATGTCGGAGTGGCATTGACTAAATACAGTAGAATAGAATACAGTATATACATATGAGTAAAGCAGTATGTAAACATTATTAAAATGGCCAGTGATTCCATGTCTATGTATATACTGTATACACTGTATCCTATGTATATAGGGCAGCTATATAGGGCAGCAGCCTCTAAGGTGCAGGGTTGAGTAGCCGGGTGGTAGCCGGCTAGTGATGGCTATTTAACAGGCTGATGGCCTTGAGATAGAAGCTGTTTTTCAGTCTCTCGGCCCCAGCTTTGATGCACCTGTACTGACCTCACCTTCTGGATGATAGCGGGGTGAACAGGCCATGGCTCGGGTGGTTGATGTCCTTGATTATCTTTTTGGCCTTCCTGTGACATCGGGTGCTATAGGTGTCCTGAAGGGCAGGCAGTGTGCCCCCGGTGATGCGTTGGGCAGACCGTACCACCCTCTGGAGACAAGCCACCAGGGTCTGACAACTTGGATGGAAAATTACTGAGGATAATAGCGGACGATATTGTCACTCCTATTTGCCATATCTTCCATTTAAGAAAGTGTGTGCCCTCAGGCCTGTAGGGAAGCAAAAGTCATTCCGCAACCTAAGAATAGTAAAGCCCCCTTTACAGGCTCAAATAGCCGACCAATCAGCCTGTCACCAACCCTTCGTAAAGTTTGGGAAAACATTGTGTTTGAACAGATACAATGCTATTTTACAGTAAACAAACAGACTTTCAGCACGCTTATAGGGAAGGACATTCACCAAGCACAGCACTTACACAAATGACTGATAATTGACTGAGAGAAATTTATGATAAAAATAATGTGGGGGCTGTTTTGTTAGACTTCAGTGCGGCTATTGACATTATCGATCATAGTCTGCTGCTGGAAAAACGTATGTGTTATGGCTTTACACCCCCTGCTATATTGTGGATAAAGAGTTACCTGTCTAACAGAACACAGAGGGTGTTCTTTAATGGAAGCCTCTCCAAAATATTCCAGGTAGAATCAGGAATTCCCCAGGGCAGCTGTCTAGGCCCCTTACCTTTTTCAATCTTTACTAACGACATGCCACTAGCTTTGAGTAAAGCCAGTGTGTCTATGTATGCGGATGACTCAACACTATACATATCAGCTACAGCAACTACAGCGACTGAAATGACTGCAACACTTAACAAAGAGCTGCAGTTAGTTTCAGAATGGGTGGCAAGGAATAAGTTAGTCCTAAATATTTCAGAAATATTTGGGACAACTCATTCACTAAACCCTAAACCTCAACTAAATCTTGTAATAAATAACCCTGGATTGTAAACTGTTATGGTCAAAACATATTGATACAACAGTAGCTAAGATGGGGAGACGTCTGTCCATAAAAAAGCGCTACTCTACCTTCGTAACTGCACTATCAACAAGACAGGTCCTACAGGCCCTAGTTTTGTTGCACCTGGACTACTGTTCAGTCGTGTGGTCAGGTGCCACAAAGAGGTACTTAGGAAAATTGTAATTGGCTCAGAACAGGGCAGCACGGCTGGACCTTTGATGTACACAGAGAGCAGAGATGGTTGTCCTTCTGGAATGTTCTCCCATCTCCACAGAGGAACTCTGGAGCTCTGTCAGAGTGACCATCGGTTTTTTGGTCACCTCCTTGACCAAGGTCCTTCTCCCCCGATTGCTCAGTTTGGCCGGGCGGCCATCTTTAGGAAGAGTCTTGGTGGTTCCAAACTTCTTCCATTTAAGAATGATGGAGGCCACTGTGTTCTTGGGGACCTTCAATGCTGTAGAAATATTTTGGTACCCTTCCCCAGAACTGTTTCTCAACACAATCCTATCCTGGAGCTCTATGGCAATTCCTTCGACCTCATGGCTCTGACATGCACTGTCAACTGTGGGACCTTTTATAGACAGGTGTGTGCCTTATACACAATAGATCTTATACCAGTATCTCTCACTGCCTTCCTCTGAAATACTCCATTGTTCCCTCTCTCTCCGTTTCGGTCCCCTCTTCCCCCCTCTCTTTCTCTCTCTACCCCTCTCTCTCTCTCTCTGTCTCCCCCCTCTCTCAGGGTGTGGTGCGTATCCACCTCTTGGAGGCTGATGACCTGCCAGCGAAGGACAACTACATGAAGGGGGTGATAGCGGGGTTGTCTGACCCCTATGCTCTGTGTAGGGTGGGGCCTCAGACCTTCACCTCCCATGTTGTGGACAACACTGTCTGTCCCAAGTGGGGAGAGATGTACGAGGTGAGGGGGCCAGGAGCCGGAGGATTGTAAAATCACTCATTCCTCTGTCATTGAATGTCATTGCCACATATTAGTGTTGCATTTACTGTTGTCTTGATTTCCATATCTTTGTTTAGGAAGATAATGCATTACTTGGTAGAGAATGCATTGGTCCAGTAACGGAGTGGGGATTCCCCTATGTGTGTGTGTCTATTAAGGAAAATCCACTGCCAACTGAGTAATCATATACAGTACACAGCCACATTGTCTCCTCATTCAAGTCCTGTGTTTGTTGGTCCTCATGGTGTTGTGTATGTCCATGTGTGTGTGTCAGGTCATAGTCCATGAAGTACCAGGTCAGGAGCTGGAGGTGGAGGTGTATGACAAAGACCCAGACAAGGATGACTTTCTGGGGAGGTAGCTACATCTCTCAGCCTGCCTGCCCATGGGTTTCTGTGTGCCGCACTGCCACTTATTACAGTCTCCCTTGACCTTTCACCTCTGAGTCAAAAGGAGAAGGATATAAAGTATCCTAGTGTTTTAAATGTAGTGTTATCTTCTTATCCTTAAATACTAATGCTTCTCCTTTCCTTCTTTTTCTCCATCGTCTTGATTTCTCTCTGTTTTTGTTTATTTCTCTATTTGTCTCTCTCCCTCTCTTTCCATTGTCCTTCAGAATCAAGATAGATTTGGGTATCGTGAAGAAGTCCAAAGTTGTTGATGATGTGAGTTATTTGTATTATTGAATGTCTGATAAAGTTAGACATTTAACAAGATAACAATGTAACAAGATGACCCATTTAGAAGTAATGTCTATGCATCCCCCATTACGTTATCATCACAATCTGTATATTTATGCTTTGTTTCTCAGTGGTTCACCCTGAAAGAAACCAAGTCAGGACGGGTCCATTTCAGACTGGAGTGGTTGGTCTTGCTGCCCAATACGAAGCGACTGGAACAGGTCTGCATCCGTATCCTCCCTATCATAATATTCCTCCCGCAGTCAATGTGACAGGAATATGATGCTCTGGCTGTCTTGTATTGTTAAACATTGTGGTGACTGTGGACACTGGCAGTGAGCCCGTAGTGAAGGAATGTGCAGAATGAACCGTGCTTAGAGCTGAGTGCCTCTCCTCTCCTCTCCTCTCCTCTCCTCTCCTCTCCTCTCCTCTCCTCTCCTCTCCTCTCCTCTCCTCTCCTCTCCTCTCCTCTCCTCTCCTCTCCTCTCCTCTCCTCTCCTCTCCTCTCCTCCCCCAGGTTCTTCAGAGGAACGAGAGCATGACGGTGTCCAGTAAGACTTCTGACCCCCCCTCGGCAGCCATCTTGGCAGTGTATCTGGACAAGGCTGAAGCCCTTCCTGTGAGTCACCACACCTCATCAACCTCTCCCCCTCCTCTCTCAGCCCAAAGCTGCTTCCTGTCTGTGGCTGTGCTAGGGTACAGCTGTAACTGTCGTTAGGGTTCTTGTTACACAGTGTTGTTCCCTACCATCTGCCCTTGTTCACTTCCCATCACTGAGCTGAGATAATTGGATAGGTGTAAGGAATATCTCCACCTAGCTTTCAGGTAGGCTCGGTGGAGTTTCTGCCATGTTGCTTTCACCTATCCAGTCCTACTCAGTCTGTTAAGGGGAGTGAATGGGAGGTGAGGGGAGAGAACAACAGCCATAGTGGTGGTGTGTTCAGCTTTAGACTTCCTGAAACTGTTTGCACGCAGCTCTGTTGTTTCCTCTGTGTGTCAGGACACCTTTGATTTCTGTACTGTTTTTGGCAGTTGCCATGCAACATCTATGCCAGTGGTTACCAATCCTAGATCTATAGCGCTACAGAGTGTGCAGGCTTTTGTTACAAACCATATGTCTTAACTAATCTAATCTAATCATCAATCATTTGATTAGTTGAATCAGTTGTAGTGCTGAGAGATTAGTGCTTTTTGAGGTTGGTTCGGTTTCGGTTTGATTATGAAAACATAATCACAGTAATATTAAATAATGGCATAACAATGATTTTAGAGCTTTTTAATGGAAATTCCCAGGCCCGAAAATAGTGAAAATCAATAGAAAAATAGTTAGTTACTATGACATAATAAAATATTTCAGTTGTGTATATTACTTACATTTTATTTGATAACTTTATTATTTTTAATTCCTTAAAGTCACCAACTCATCTCTGCTCAGGCAGTAGTAGTCAGCCAGCCAGACCATCTTACCTATGTGCTCCCCATACTGTACTGTCTTTAGTCATCCTATTTAGCTAGGCTAGCCTTCCTGCCTAAGTATGCTGCAGAGCTGTCTGACTAAATCATTTTACTAGTTCTTCAAAGTAGATAAGGCATACTTTCACCAACTGTCTGTCCCTCTCATCGTTGTGTTGTGTACATTCCTCTCTCATGTGGTCTATGTGTAGGCCTATCAAACCTAACGTTGCAGGTGTAAAAATGTATCCGTCCAGAGATCTGTATATAATGACGAGATGCTCATGTCCCCGCCCTAACAATGGGAGTCATTGTCCCAAAGGCAGGAAGGCAGGCGACAAGTTAAGGTCCAAAATAAGCCCATAGAAACGCATTGGGCTTATTTTGGACAGATTTTGGCGAGAGTGAAACCTCTCGCTTCGCCTCTTCCTCTCTGATACGTCTCTGGCCGAGCCGGAAAAAACTGGCACAATGGATTATGGTCATTGTAGTTAATTACCACGTTTCTGAGCTGAACTAGGTTGAATATTTGCTTAATGAAAACTACAACTCCCTTCAGCCCAGCGTCCCTCAAAGTTCTTGACTTGATTTCTCGCATGAATGATTTGATTTCTCTCTAGAGAAACACCACGTTGGGCTCACAATTTTTTTTTACTGTACAGAACTAAAATATAAACACAACATGCAACAATTTCAAAGATTTTACTGAGTTACAGTTCATATCAGGAAATCAAGTCAAGTTAAATAAATTCATTAGGCCCTAATCTATGGATTTCACATGACTGGTAATACAGATATGCATCTGTTGGTCAAAGATACCTTTAAAAAAAAGGTAGGGGCATGGATCAGAAAACCAGTCAGTATCTGGTGTGACCACCATTTGACTCATGCAGCACGACACATCTCCTTCGCATAGTGTTTATCAGGCTGTTGATTGTGGCCTGTGGAATATTGTCCCACTCCTCTTCAATGGCTGTGCGAAGTTGCTGGATATTGGCGGGAACTGGAACACGCTGTCGTACACGTCGATCCAGAGCATCCCAAACTGCTCAATGGGTGACATGTCTTGTGAGTATGCAGGCCATGGAAGAACTGGGACATTTTCAGCTTCCAGGAATTGTGTACAGATCCTTGCGACATGGGGCCGTGCATTATCATTCTGAAACATGAGGTGATGGCGGTGGATGAATGGCACAACAATGGGCCTCAGGATCTCGTCACGGTATCTCTGTGCATTCAAATTGCCATCGATAAAATGTAATTGTGTTCTTTGTCCGTAGCTTATGTCTGCCCATACCATAACCCCACCGCCACCATGGGGCACTCTGTTCACAACGTTGACATCAGCAAACCGCTCACCCACACGACGCCGTACACGTGGTCTGCGGTTGTGAGGCCGGTTGGACATACTGCCAAATTCTCTAAAACGACGTTGGATGCAGCTTATAGTAGAGAAATCAACATTAGATTCTCTGAAAACAGCTCTGGTGGACATTCCTGTAGTCAGCATGCCAATTGCCCGCTCCCTCAAAACTCGAGACATCTGTGGCATTGTGTTGTGTGACAGAATTGCACATTTTAGAGTGGCCTTTTATTGTCCCCTGCACAAGGTGCACCTGTGTAATGATCATGCTGTTTAATCAGCTTCTTGATATGCCACACCTGTCAGGTGGATGGATTATTTTGGCAAAGGTGAAATGCTCACTAACAGGGATGTAAACAAATTTATGCACAACATTAGAGAGAAAGAACGTTTTTGTGGGTATGGAAGATTTCTGCAATCTTATATTTCAGCTCATAAAACATGGGACCAACACTTTACATGTTTATAGATTTTTTCAGTGTACATGGAATTCAAGTAATTCAACCGACGTCGGTCAATTCGTTTTTTAATAACTGGAAATAAAATGAAATGTTGGTTAATCACTCAGCACTAATCGGTTGTGTTAGTGCTGGCCCGGAACAAAAACCCCTGTAGTGTTGTTAATGTTGGTTGTTTGTGTTGTGTCTTATATGTCAATGTGTGTTTGTATGTTTGTGTTTTAGATGAAGAAGGGCAATAAAGAACCCAGTCCCATGGTGCAGTTGTCTGTGCAGGACATCACACGAGAGAGCAGGGTAAGACTACCAGGGCAGTGACTTACTTATTCCATTCAGCTCCTATAGTGGAGAAAAGGACCAAACAGTGCTACCACAGTAGTAGACTATCATAACCCTTTGCTTTGAAGTCAAACTCCCTCCTATTTCACGCTCTCTATTTTCCTTCATGCTGCTTTTAGACCTGTTGGACGACCATCAACCCAAAGTGGGAGGATGCCTTCACCTTCTTTATCCCAGATCCACGCAAGCAGTCAATAGACATTCAGGTATCTTGATATTGTAACTCCATTCGATAACATGTTCTGCACCCATTTGTCATTATGTTCATTTAATGAATGATGCATTTCTGTCTGTGTGTCCTCGTAGCATTCTGTTCAATGACCACACTCTCTTTTCTCTGTGTGTATTCTTCAATGAACATTCTCACTATCCTCCCATGTCTGTCTCAGGTGAAGGACAATGATCGGATACAGACTCTAGGTAGCCTGTCCATCCCTCTGTCCCGCCTGCTGTCCAGCCCCAACCTGTCTCTGGACCAGTGGTTCCAGCTAGACAAATCTGGCCATGCCAGCCGCATCTACATCACCACGGTGCTCAGGGTAAGGACTGGTACCTCCTCTCAATCCCAACCTACAGTAAGGTTGATGCACATCTAAAACAATTGCTCAGTTTAGCCTGTGTAATGTATTATCCTCATTCTCTCTCTCTCTCTCTCTCTCTCTCTCTCTCCTCTCCTCTCTCTCTCTCTCTCTCTCTTCTCTCTCGCTCTCTCTCTCTCTCTCTCTCTCTCCTCTCCTCTCTCTCTCGCGCTCTCTCTCCTCTCTCTCTCTCTCTCTCTCAGGTGTTATGGTTGGATGAGGATAACATTCACACATCCTCTACAGAAGCAGCCAACCTAGCAGCAGGTCTCTCAAAGATACGCCCCCAACAGACTTCCCCTGACCCCAGCTTTGCCACAGAGGTAAATAATGCCATGTTTATGAGGACACAGCAATACACATGGACATACATTTTATTGTTTTCAATGTAGTTACAGTTAAACTAGGTGAAAGTGTGACTGCAATATTGAAGAATGTCAGTCTGTGATGAAGTAAAGTGTTTTGTTGTTTTAGGGGGTGCTGAGAATCCACCTTTTAGAGGGCCAAAATCTGGTCCCCAAGGACAACATGATGGGGGGCATGGTGAAGGGCAAAAGTGACCCCTATGTCAAGATCAACATTGGGGGTGAGACCTTTGAAAGCCGGGTCATCAATAGGAACCTCAACCCCACCTGGAACGAGATGTATGAGGTACGATATTACATAGTGGTCATGATTTTATTTGGTTGACCCAATAAGTCAAATCTTGTGAAATATAATCTTCATTTCAAATCAGATATTTTCAACAAAACAAAGAAAGCCATTGTTCAAAACGGACAATCATGCCACTGTAGGGTTATAATGAGTTCAAGGAGGCCTCTGCACTTCAGTAAACAGTAGAACCTTAGAATGAGTGCTCAACAACCAAGACAGCAGTCTAAAACTGAGGACTTGCCCATTATTTTGAGGAAAATATTAGGTGACCTCAAAATGTTTCCAGTTTTAGTATGTAGAATACTGCCCTTACTGAAGCTGTTGTTGTGTTGTCTCCCAGGTGGTTCTGACCACGCTGCCTGGCCAGGAGCTGCATGTAGAGCTGTTTGATAAGGACATGGACATGAAGGATGACTTCATGGGCAGGTATGCAGGCTGTGACCCAAATGGCACCCTAGTCTATATATAGTGCACTACTTTAGGGTGCCATTTTGGATGTAGCTGGAGTCTCTGGGAGCAAGATAGATTTATATCTGTGGTGACTTTGGTGCCCCCTTGGGCAGGGACATGTAACTAGTCCCACAGATTTATATTTGCTCCATATTACATTTGTTTGTACAGTAGTTGGCTCTCTAAGTTGTTTGCTCTCTGATAGTGATATGTACTGTTACAGGTTGAAGATCAGTCTGAAGGATATCATCACCTCTCAATACACTGACCAGGTGAGATCTACATGCCTGCATGGGAGTTAACATGCCTACATACTCTAATTTAAACAAACCAATCACTGCACTGAATGTTGAACTTTACCATCCTATGTGAAAGCTATTTAGTTACCCTGTTTCAATGGTAGGCTACACTGTGAGTTGTTGTCTCTCTGTTCCAGTGGTACACTCTGAATGATGTGAAGTCAGGTCGTCTTCACCTGGTACTGGAGTGGGTACCAACAGTATCACAACCAGACAGACTGGATCAGGTCAGTCCTATTCTTCCAGTTTTAAATTCACCCCCCAAATATTTGCAGTATTAAACAGTAGAGTAATACATCCTTATTCACATACAGTGCATTCGGAAAATATTCAGACCCCTTCACTTTTTCCACATTTTGTTAGGTTACAGCCTTATTCATCAATCTACACACAATACCTCATAATGACAAAGCGAAAACAGGTTTTTAGAAATGTTTGCAAATGTATTACAAATAAATAACAGAAATACCTTATTTACATAAGTATTCAGACTTTGCTATGAGACTCAGGTGCATCCTGTTTCCATTGATCATCCTTGAGATGTTTCTACAACTTGATTGGAGTGCAGCTGTGGTAAATTCAATTGATTGGGCATGATTTGGAAAGGCACACACCTGTCTATATAAGGTCCCACATTTGACAGTGCATTTCAGAACAAAAACCAACCCATGAGGTTGAAGGAATTGTCCATAGAGCTCCGAGACAGGATTGTGTTGAGGCACAGATCTGGGGAAGGGTACCAAAACATTTCTGCAGCATTGAAGGTCCCCAAGAACACAGTGGCCTCCATCATTCTTAAATGGAAGAAGTTTGGAACCAGCAAGACTCATCCTAGAGCTGGCCGCCCAGCCAAACTGAGCAATCAGGGGAGAAGGGCCTAGGTCAGGGAGGTGACCAAGAACCTGATGGTCAACCCGATGGTGACCAAGAACCCTAGGACAACCATCTCTGCAGCACTCCACCAATCAGGGTAGAGTGGCCAGACGGAAGCCACTCCTCAGTAAAAGACACATGACAGCCCGCTTGGAGTTTGCCAAAAGGCACCCAAAGGACTCTCAGACCATGAGAAACAAGATTCTCTGGTCTGATGAAACCAAGATTGAACTCTTTGGCATGAATGCCAAGCATCACGTCTGGAGGAAACCTGGCACCATCCCTACAGTGAAGCATGGTGGTGGCAGCATCATGCTGTGGGTATGTTTTTCAGCGGCAGGGACTGGGAGACTAGTCAGGATCGAAGGAAAGATGAACTGAGCAAAGTACAGAGAGATCCTTGATGAAAACCTGCTCCAGAACTCTCAGGACCTGAGACTGGGCTGAAGGTTCACATTCCATTAGGACAACGACCCTAAGCACACAGCCAAGACAACGCAGGAGTGGCTTCGGGGCAAGTCTCTGAATGTCCTTGAGTGGCCCAGCCAGAGCCCTGACTTGAACCCGATCGAACATCTCTGGAGAGACCTGAAAATAGCTGTGCAGCAACGCTCCCCATCCAACCTGACAGAGCTTGAGAGGATCTGCAGAGAAGAATGGGAGAAACTCCCCAAATACAGGTGTGCCAAGCTTGTAGCGTCATACCCAAGAAGACTAAAGGCTTTAATCGCTGCCAAAGGTGCTTCAACAAAGTACTGAGTAAAGGGTCTGAATACTTATGTAAATGTAAATATTTCAGGTTTTTATTTTTTATAAATGTGCAAAAACCTGTTTTTGCTTTGTCATTATGGGGTATTATGTGTAGATTGATAAGGGAATAAAAACAATTAATCAATTTTAGAATAAGGCTGTAATGTAACAAAATGTGGAAAAAGTCAAGGGGTCTGAATACTCTCCGAATGCACTGTAGTTTAGGAGTTTATTAAGGAGATCATGTTGAGATCATAGAATCTGTTTAGCAAATGATACCTGAGTACAAAACATAAGCAACTGAACAAAAATATAAACGCAACATGTAAAGTGTTGGTCCAATGTTTCATGAGCTGAATTATTTTTTTTTTTCTTATTTCTCATAAATTCTGTGCACAAATGTGTTTATATCCCTGTTAGTGAGCATTTCTCCTTTGCCAAGATAATCCAACCACCTGACAGGTGTGGCATATCAAGTAGCTGATTAAAAAGCATGATCATTACACAGGTGCACCTTGTGCTGGAGACAATAAAAGGCCACTTTAAAATGTGCAGTTTTGTCACACGACACAATGCCACAGATGTCTCAAGTTTTGAGGGAGCGTGCAATTGGCACACCTGACTGCAGGAATGTCCACCAGAGCTGTTGCCAGATAATTGAATGTTCATTTCTCTACCATAAGCTGACTCCAATGTTGTTTTAGAGAATTTGGTAGTAGGTCCAACCGGCCTCACAATCGCATTCCACGTGTAACCACGCCAGCCCAGGACCTTCACATCCGGCTTCTTCACCTGTGGGATTGTCTCAGGGGGGGTGAGGGGGGCTCTGGTGCTGAAGAGTATTTCTGTCTGTAATAAAGCACTTTTGTAGGGAAAAATGCTGGGCGAGGCTCCCCAGTGGGTGGGCCTGGCTGCCAAGTGGGTGGCCCACCCATGGCTGCACTCCTGCCCAGTCATGTGAAATCCATAGATTACGGCCTAATTTATGATTTAAATTGAATGATTTCCTTATATGAACTGTAACTCAGTACAAATTTTGAAATTGTTGCATGTTGTGTTTATGTTTTTGTTCAGTGTAATAGGCAGAATAAAACAGTAGAGTAATGCATCCTGAAACACAGTGCCATACAGTCCCACTGACCTGTTTCCATTTCCCTCAGGTGTTCCAGTTCCAGTCCAGGCAGTCCTACCACAACAAGGCCTTTCCATCCATGGCTCTACTGTTTGTGTTTGTGGAGAGGGCTGACGGCCTACCTGTGCGTCTAATCTTCCTCTTTCTCAGTTTGGAATGGATCTTATGACTTTGTGTGCAGGGCTTATGATAATGATATTATGTTTAGAGGACTAATTATATTTTGCATATGAACCAGGTGTTTATTTCTGTGCACATCTAGTGTGTGTGTGTTTTGAATGTTTGTTTATTGTGGTGTGTTTCTAGCTGAAGAAGAGTGGGAAGGAGCCAAAAGTGGGAGCTGAACTTGTTGTGGGGGGGACCTCCCATAAAACGACAGTGAGACAGATAACCCATTCAATGTGTCCTGTTTAAAATTGATATATGACACTGTAAAACCATTCAATGTGTCCTTAAAGAGGGACTGCCGCTAAAAAGCAAATAATTTTTTTGACTACAAAGTGTAAATAGGAAAGTTTTGTTCATAAAGTCAGTCTCGTCCAAAACTGAGATTTGTGTGATGATAGGGAAAAAATTGTATATCACGGAATTAAGGGTACTGTAACAGTTTTCTGTGGGTTGGGATTATTTATTTTAATCCTGCCCACAGCTGGCAGCACTCAAGTAATCATCGATTACACAAAATACCTTTTGCGGTTAAAATCCAATGTACCAAAAAATATATATATATTACATGGGTTTCCATCGCATTTTCAACTCTACTGATGGTTATATAGCTAGTGTGCCCACTCTGGTCTTGGCACGTGCGCTGTAGCCAACAACTCGCAGATACAGTGCGGGTATAGCCTACATGATGAGATTATTATGGACAAAATAGCAAGATAATTTTTATTTGTCAAACGGCAGCCAAGCATCAATGATCATGTCACCAGAATAAGACTCTAGATATTTATTGGAAAGGAGCATCAAGCTCATCACCTTGCAATTTCACCACCCTGTGAAGTTCATCATAACTTATTTAATCTGTAGCCTAATGAACTGCATACTTTCCCGATAAGTCGTAGTGGGAGGACCACACAACATGTCATAGTGTTACTCCAAGTTTACTTTGAAATGATGGTTATTATATCAATATATGCGCATAAAAGCATTTCCACCTTCATTTTACGCATAAATCATTTGACCAACAAAAAGATCCCACCTTGTCTAACGTATTTTGATTTGTGGACATTTGCTAAGTTTACCAACAAATGTTCTGTTTCCGTCAGGCCTGTCATTACATTTGTTATCTGACATGTAATTTACTCGCATAAAAAGGTTGGATGGAAACCTGGTTTATGTCAGTGAATTACAGCCCTTACCTCCTTTCTATCTTTCTTAAGGTGTGTGATCGCACCATCTCACCCCAGTGGGACGAGCCTTTTTACTTCCTGGTTCATGACCCCAGAGAGGAGATCCTCATAGTGAAGGTATGTTACTTTTTAGATAAGAGCTTAAAGATGTGTGCTTTTATAAAAGGGTGTTATACTCTTCAAACAATTACATTACGCGGTCATCCATCCATCTTCCATTTTCTCTTCTACTCTAGTTGTCTCACAGTTGGACATTGCCTATTGGTTCTCTGGTGGTACCAATGAGAGAGCTGCTGTCACAACCAGATCTGGTCCTGGATCAGTGGCTGAGTCTTGATGGAGCCTCACCTGACAGTCAGATTCTACTGAGGGCTGAACTCAAGGTGAGACAGACTCTTGCACTTACAGTTCTCTAGAAACGCTAGCTTACTCTGAAGGAGTCACTTTAGACGTGTATTGATTCAATGCATGATGTTTTGTAATAAGGTTATATGGTGGTGTTGTTATTAAATGTGTTGTTCTACTACAGGTGCTGTGTCCCAAGAAGTGTGAGATTGATGTGGAGAGGGCAGATCAACCCAGAGCTCGAGCCACCTCCACTGCTGAACAGATACTGGAGAGAGAGACAGTGCAGCAGAGGTAGAACAAATGAGGGTGTACTAATACACACACGCACACACACACACACACACACACACACACACACACACACACACACACACACACACACACACACACACACACACATTTAACCAATTTCTCTGTTCTTCCACCATGTCTGCTCAGGTCTAGTTCAGTGGACACTCCCAGTGCTCCAGCCCCCAGCTCTCCCTATATCCCAGCACCAGTACCAGAGCCAGAGGAGGCTAAGAGGGTAACAGCTACTGAGATGGTAGCTGAGAAGGTACCTGAGGAGGTCACTGAGGAACCCAGTCTTCCTGAAATACTCCCCAGACACACCAACCCTGAGCCCACCTTTGGCTCTGAGGTGAGATGCAGTGTGCCAGTGTAGGCCATTATTACAATTATTTTTCTTTTTGAGGTATATAGTATCAAATCAAATGTATATATAAAGCCCTTTTTACATCAGCAGATGTCACAAAGTGCTTATACAGAAACCCAGCCTAAACCCCCAAAAAGCAGGCAATACAGTTGTAGAAGCACAGTGGGCTAAGAAAAACTCCCTAGAAAGGCAGGAGCCTAGGATGAAACCTAGAGAGGAACCAGGCTCTGAGGGGTGGCCAGTCCTTTTATGGCTGTGCCAGGTGGAGATTATACGAGTACATGGCCATTAAGGCCAGATTGTTCTTCAAGATGTTCAAACGTTCATAGATGACCAGCAAGGTCAAATAATAATCACAGTGGTTGTAGAGGGTGCAACAGGTCAGTACCTCAGGAGTAAATGTCAGTTAGCTTTTCATAACCGAGCAGTACCATTTACTGTGTGAATAAGATATTTCATACTATATACAGTACTGTGTGAGTCAGGTATTTCATGCTACACTGCTGTATTTTGTGCAGTCTTTTTACTAGTGTTTTTTTTAGGGGGTGCTGAGAATCCACCTACTGGAGGCCCAGAATCTAATCGCCATGGACAACCTGATGGGGGGCCTGAAGAAGGGCAAGAGTGACCCCTACGTCAAGATCAACATCGGAGGAGTCAGGTTTAAGAGTCATGTGATCAAGGAGAACCTCAACCCTACCTGGAACGAGATGTATGAGGTATGGTGGTATACAGTATCAATATTTGGCATGTCAACCATCAATCCTGTCTAACAGAATATCGAATAAAGCCAAAGTGACAATATTGCAATTTATTTGTAATTAATAATGCTGATAGTACTGAATAGCAACAGATAAAGAATACGATGATGAGTAAGAAGAAGAAATAGAAAGCAGATAAGATATATTTGGTTGCAAGGATTTGGGGGGAGGGCTGTAATGATTCCATCAGTCTTCTAAAACACCAGAGCTGAAAAATAGAACAACAAATGGGGAGAAGTGTTAAGGGTAAATTAGAATGGATACAGTGTACTTTCACATAGCTGAGGTACAACAACTAGCCTGATTACAGTTGATGCATTCACTTAACTCCATTAGTAGAGTCCACAAGTGACAATTTTGACCCAAAACCCGATCTTAAATTCAAAGATGCACTATGTAGAAGTCGCTCTGCCATTTCCTGCGTGAAAAAATTCGAACAGTTTGCCTAATTTCAGTTTATGTGACAAAACAAGCAAGTATAGTATAAAGAATCATTGTACCATCTAAACCGCTGTGAAATATATTTTCCATAACCAAAAATATTGTATTTTGAGCTTGTTAAGAAGCTAAGATTTAAAGTGTTTTTATTTTATTTTATAGAAACCGATCTTGTCTCTCTTACGTCAGCAGGAAGCAGATTGTGCAGTCATTCTTTCTATCTGTTCTTGATTATGGTGATACTATTTATCAATGTGCAGCTGCCACTACTCTTAAACCCCTGGATGCCGTTTATCATAGCGCCCTTCGTTTTATCACAGGAGACAGTATTATTACTCATCACTGCATTCTTTACCAAAAGGTTGGCTGGATCTCTATAAAGTCACGTAGATCACATCATTACGCTAGTTTTGTTTACAAAGCCCTGCTCCATAAGCTTCAGACTTACCTAACATCACTGTTAAGATTTTAAATTACAAGTTATCAAACTCGTTCACGGAGTTGGTTAACTTTGGAGACTCCTTTGGTGTCTACAGAGTTAGGTAAATCGGCCTTTAATTTCCTTGCACCCTATGTTTGGAATAATCGCAAAAAGACGTTTCGATTGGATGTTTTGAATTCCCTAGGGCAAATCAGACAGCTGACAGAGGAATTTTTATAATGAAGAATGTGTTTGTTTTAATTGACTGTGTTTTGTATTCTTAATGTGTGTTTAATGTGTAAATTGTCTATATTTATGTTTTTTCGATACATGCCTGTTGTATGTGCTTGTTTTTGTATTATGCAGGGCTCATTTGTAAAAGAGACTTAAGTCTCAATATGACTTCCTTGTTAAAATAAAGGTAAATAATAAAATAATAACTTTCAGCTGTTTGAAGCTGGTGTACAAAACCGAAAGTAAAAGACGCAAAAACAAAACTTAAGAACGGGAAGCATAGAAATAGCGCACATAGAACTGATCTACGGCCTCTTAGACTTGCTTTCAATGAGAATGATAGATCTATAACTCACATTTCTATGTGAATTTAGTCGGATCGCCCAAAGAGTTACATAATGCCACTTTAACTATCCCATTAATCCAGCCGAGCAGTCATCTGCACTTGCTTTTGTCCTTCTTTGGAGACTGGCTTCCCTCCTCTTTGGAACTTGACTCGCTCTCTTCATCACTGAGGGAAGAACAATCTGCCATGAGGGACTTCTTTGGGTTGCTCTTCAGCTGATCGAAGTGCATCCTGTGCTGGGCATTGAGTGCCTCTTCCAGGGCCTTACGTTTGACTGCCTCTTCCTCCTCAAGGAGCCTCTGCGTAGCCACCTGGATATCTATGTAAAGGATGATTCTACTTTTCTAGGTCACCTCCGCATCCACACGCTCATTGTAATCCATTTTGATATCTAGAATCTCCCACTCAGGAGTGATCACAAGCTCCAGGGCTTGCTCTGTGATAGGGGCTAGGGCATTTGTTTCAGGTAACTCCCAAGCAACCTAGTGTACCAACTTTAGAATTAACCCCAGCTCTGGCCATAAGTCTACGCAACATTGTATTCTGATGTTACTCAACCTTGTTATGTCTGCCATTTCTCACCTGTTTTCAACTTTAACTCTCTGCATTCGCTGTAGTCTCTCTTTATCTAACTGTGGGCTTTGTCTGTGGAAAGTCTGGAAACTGTTCTTTGTGGAATTATGTTTCATGCAATCTATTGCTTTCTGATGAATAGGAGTAGAAATGTGAATATTCATTTGAAGTATTTATGACATTTTGTCTGTCAACGACTGTCATGAGTCCTGCTCTATAGGTTTACTTATAGTTTCCTCTCTAAGTGTTACCGTCATTGTGATGTTTGTCCCCAGACGGTGATGACCCCACAGTCAGGTCAGGAGGTCCAGGTAGAGCTGTATGATAAAGACATGGACAAGGATGACTTCCTGGGCAGGTGAGAGGAACTGCTTTTGCGTTCCAAATGGCACCCTATGCCGTATATAGTGTACTACTTTTGACACTAATTAGTGCACTATGTAGAGAATAGTATTCCATTTGGGACGCAAATAAGTTGGGTCCTGTACTTTTTGTTAGCCATGTTGTTCTTTGTCAAAATGTTGTGTGTTTTCTGACTGTATTTTTCCCTCTTGTGTACAGGTGTAACATCAGTATGAGAGACATCATACACTCCCAGTATACAGACCAGGTAAGGTTTACATGTCTCTCTCTGCTCTTGTACTAAATCATTTACATCGGTAGTCGGTACACTCATCTGTATAATGTGTGTATTAGTTTTAGTACACTGTCTGATGGGTGTTTTCTTGTCTCTTGCAGTGGTACACTCTGAATGATGTGAAGTCAGGTCGTCTTCACCTGGTACTGGAGTGGGTACCAACAGTATCACAACCAGACAGATTGGATCAGGTCAGTTCTACTTCTCTCCTCTCTGTGTCGACAATTTATATATTTTTCACACCTCCCCGCCCCTCTCCATAGATTTCCAGTGTTACTTTTGCCCTATCCTCACCTCTCCCTATCTCAGTACCACTTCTCCCCATCTCTCTCTCATTCTATTACTAGTTTCTAACCTTTTTACCACCTGTTTCGATGTTATTGCAATGTGATTGAACTAATTTCTCCCCATGTTCCAGGTGCTGCAGCTGCAGTCTCTCCAGTCCTACCAGAACAAGGCTGTTCCCTCTGCTGCTCTGCTCTTCATCTACATGGACAGAGCCCACTCACTGCCTGTGAGTCACCTTTCACCATTCACCAGTTCACCTCTGGCACTGAGCTATTTTGAACTTTTGAACTCTGGCTTCAGGTTGATGTCTAGTTTTGGCAGCTGTGTTGATGTATTATGCATAAATGTTGATATGTTTGATTTTTTTTGAATTGCTCACAGTCAGTGTTTGGTTTTGACTGTTGTATTGTGTGGTCTCTGTGTGTTTCTAGTTGAAGAAGAGTGGGAAGGAGCCAAAGGCTGGAGCTGAGCTTGTTCTGGGGGAGACAACCTACAGAACCAAGGTGAAATATAGTACCCTTAGAGCTGAAATGCAAGACTTGTAACAGGATCTGCCGTGAAAGTCAACTTCTCTGTCTCTCTGAAGGTGTGTGAACGTACCAACTCCCCCCAGTGGGAAGAGGCTTTCTACTTCCTGGTTCGTGACCCCAGAGAGGAGATTCTCATAGTGAAGGTGAGAGTTCAGTCTGCTTCAGGATGGAGTCGCTAAACATGGATAATGTTTAATCGAAACATAATGTCACTCACTGTAAACATCTTGCACAGTCACTGGTAAATGTAATTCATCCACACAAATCTCCCATTCTACCCTTTTCTCTTTTCCTTTCTAATTCACTCTTTATTTATCTTTCTCTAGCTGTCCAGTGCTTGGGATCAGGCGATGGGTTCTCTGGTGGTACCAGTCAGAGAGCTGCTGTCACAACCAGATCTGGTCCTGGATCAGTGGCTGAGTCTAGATGGAGCCTCACCCTACAGTCAGATTCTACTGAGGGCTGAACTCAAGGTGAGACAGACTCTTGCACTTACAGTTCTCTAGAAACGCTAGCTTACTCTGAAGGAGTCACTTTAGACGTGTATTGATTCAATGCATGATGTTTTGTAATAAGGTTATATGGTGGTGTTGTTATTAAATGTGTTGTTCTACTACAGGTGCTGTGTCCCAAGAAGTGTGAGATTGATGTGGAGAGGGCAGATCAACCCAGAGCTCGAGCCACCTCCACTGCTGAACAGATACTGGAGAGAGAGACAGTGCAGCAGAGGTAGAACAAATGAGGGTGTACTAATACACACACACACACACACACACACACACACACACACACACACACACACACACACACACACACACACACACACACACATTTAACCAATTTCTCTGTTCTTCCACCATGTCTGCTCAGGTCTAGTTCAGTGGACACTCCCAGTGCTCCAGCCCCCAGCTCTCCCTATATCCCAGCACCAGTACCAGAGCCAGAGGAGGCTAAGAGGGTAACAGCTACTGAGATGGTAGCTGAGAAGGTACCTGAGGAGGTCACTGAGGAACCCAGTCTTCCTGAAATACTCCCCAGACACACCAACCCTGAGCCCACCTTTGGCTCTGAGGTGAGATGCAGTGTGCCAGTGTAGGCCATTATTACTTTTTTTTTGGTATTTAGTATCAAATCAGATCAGCACGTCACAAAGTGCTTATACAGAAAAGTAAGCATTGCAGATGTAAAAGCACAGTGGCTAGGAAAAACTCCCTAGAAAGGCAGGAGCCTAGGAAGAAACCTAGAGAGGAACCAGGCTCTGAGGGGTGGCCAGTCCTTTTCTGGCTTTGCCAGGTGGAGATTATAACAGTACATGGCCATTAAGGCCAGATTGTTCTTCAAGATGTGCAAATGTTCGTAGATGACCAGCAGGGTCAAATAATAATCACAGTGGTTGTAGAGGGTGCAACAGGTCAGTACCTCAGGAGTAAATGTCAGTTAGCTTTTCATAACCGAGCAGTACCATTTACTGTGTGAATAAGATATTTCATACTATATACAGTACTGTGTGAATCAAGTATTTCATGCTACACTGCTGTATTTTGTGCAGTCTTTTTACTAGTGTTTTTTTTAGGGGGTGCTGAGAATCCACCTACTGGAGGCCCAGAATCTAATCGCCAAAGACAACCTGATGGGGGGCCTGAAGAAGGGCAAGAGTGACCCCTACGTCAAGATCAACATCGGAGGAGTCAGGTTTAAGAGTCATGTGATCAAGGAGAACCTCAACCCTACCTGGAACGAGATGTATGAGGTATGGTGGTATACAGTATCAATATTTGGCATGTCAACCATCAATCCTGTCTAACAGAATATCGAATAAAGCCAAAGTGACAATATTGCAATTTATTTGTAATTAATAATGCTGATAGTACTGAATAGCAACAGATAAAGAATACGATGATGAGTAAGAAGAAGAAATAGAAAGCAGATAAGATATATTTGGTTGCAAGGATTTGGGGGGAGGGCTGTAATGATTCCATCAGTCTTCTAAAACACCAGAGCTGAAAAATAGAACAACAAATGGGGAGAAGTGTTAAGGGTAAATTAGAATGGATACAGTGTACTTTCACATAGCTGAGGTACAACAACTAGCCTGATTACAGTTGATGCATTCACTTAACTCCATTAGTAGAGTCCACAAGTGACAATTTTGACCCAAAACCCGATCTTAAATTCAAAGATGCACTATGTAGAAGTCGCTCTGCCATTTCCTGCGTGAAAAAATTCGAACAGTTTGCCTAATTTCAGTTTATGTGACAAAACAAGCAAGTATAGTATAAAGAATCATTGTACCATCTAAACCGCTGTGAAATATATTTTCCATAACCAAAAATATTGTATTTTGAGCTTGTTAAGAAGCTAAGATTTAAAGTGTTTTTATTTTATTTTATAGAAACAGATCTTGCCTCTCTTACGTCAGCAGGAAGCAGATTGTGCAGTCATTCTTTCTATCTGTTCTTGATTATGGTGATACTATTTATCAATGTGCAGCTGCCACTACTCTTAAACCCCTGGATGCCGTTTATCATAGCGCCCTTCGTTTTATCACAGGAGACAGTATTATTACTCATCACTGCATTCTTTACCAAAAGGTTGGCTGGACCTCTATAAAGTCACGTAGATCACATCATTACGCTAGTTTTGTTTACAAAGCCCTGCTCCATAAGCTTCAGACTTACCTAACATCACTGTTAAGATTTTAAATTACAAGTTATCAAACTCGTTCACGGAGTTGGTTAACTTTGGAGACTCCTTTGGTGTCTACAGAGTTAGGTAAATCGGCCTTTAATTTCCTTGCACCCTATGTTTGGAATAATCGCAAAAAGACGTTTCGATTGGATGTTTTGAATTCCCTAGGGCAAATCAGACAGCTGACAGAGGAATTTTTATAATGAAGAATGTGTTTGTTTTAATTGACTGTGTTTTGTATTCTTAATGTGTGTTTAATGTGTAAATTGTCTATATTTATGTTTTTTCTACACATGCCTGTTTTATGTGCTTGTTTTTGTATTGTGCAGGGCTCATTTGTTAAATATACTTTTGTCTCAATATGACTTGAAATAAAGGTAAATAATATATTTTTTATTTTTTATTCAGCTGTTTGAAGCTGGTGTACAAAACCGAAAGTAAAAGACGCAAAAACAAAACTTAAGAACGGGAAGCATAGAAATAGCGCACATAGAACAGATCTACCACTTCTTAGACTTTCTTTCAATGAGAATGACAGATCTATAACTCACATTTCTATGTGAATTTGGTCGGGTCCCCAAAAAGTTACATATTGCAGCTTTAACATTTCCCTTGATGTTTTTCCATCGTCAATAGCCTTTGGTCCTCTCCTGCAATTTTTGGATCTGTTTCTTTTTGGCTTTGGATTTCTCCCACTCAAGCCATTGACCCTCGACTTTCTGTCGATTTGCTTCGGTCTTCAGGAGTTTGGTCCTCTTCTTTTCTTCCCTCTCTGCGCGGGTGACACCAACATAGTTTCCCAAACACCATTTGTAGACCTCCTTGTCTCTTTTGTGCACCTAGTTGTAGTAGGTGTGCTAAATTTTCTGCTGATTTTGCTCCTTAAAGTTGCACTATGCGGATATCGCTCCATTTCCTTGTTGCTAAAACGCTTAATAGTTTGCATAATTTCAGTGTATATGACAAAATAAGATAGTATAGTGTAGAGAATCATTGTACCATCTAAGCCACTGTGAAAAATATTTTCCATAACCAAAAATATTATTGTTTCAGATGCAAGATGCAAAAACAAAACTTAAGAACGGGAAGCCTAGAAATAGCGCACATAGAACAGATCTACCATTTCTTAGACTTGCTTTCAACGAGAATGATAGATATATTTCTATGTGAATTTAGTCGGGTCGCCCAAAAAGTTACATATTGCCACTTTAACTATCCCATTAATCCAGCCGAGCAGTCATCTGCACTTGCTTTTGTCCTTCTTTGGAGACTGGCTTCCCTCCTCTTTGGAACTTGACTCGCTCTCTTCATCACTGAGGGAAGAACAATCTGTTCCCTCTGGCCCCTCTTTTTCCTCTTCTGCCATGAGGGACTTCTTTGGGTTGCTCTTCAGCTGATCGAAGTGCATCCTGTGCTGGGCATTGAGTGCCTCTTCCAGGGCCTTACGTTTGACTGCCTCTTCCTCCTCAAGGAGCCTCTGCGTAGCCACCTGGATATCTATGTAAAGGATGATTCTACTTTTCTAGGTCACCTCCGCATCCACACGCTCGGTGTCATCGATTTTTATGTCTAGAATCTCCCACTCAGGAGTGATTACAAGCTCCGGGGCTTGTTCGATGATAGGGTCTGGGCTAGGGCACTCGTCGTGAAGCCAGGAATCAGGTTCTAGGTTGGCCATGGGCCTTGGCTTGCAAATAATGAGCCAGGGTACCGGCACAGCCACAGCAGGCTCCTACCTTTTTTGGGGCCTGGTCTTTTTCACTCTGCACCATGTCCAGGTATTTTACCTCCCTGGCCTTATCCTGGTTGATCATCTCTCTGAACTCGTCCAGCTCATCATTCCTCTCCTGCTTCTCTTGCCGGACCACTTCTGTCTGTTCCTCGTTTGTGACCGCATCCAGCTTTCTCAGCCGGTCCTCCTTCCACTCTCTCTCCATCTCGCAGTGTCTCTGCTCTTCCAGAATTCGGGTCTGCTTGGCCATCTGTGTCTTCATCATCTTCTGTCTCTCCTCCCTTTGTCTCTCCTCCTCTCTCTCCCGCTCTTCCTCCTGTTCCCTCTTAATCTCCTCCATCCTTCTCTTCTTCAACTTTTCTTTCTTGGTCATTTTGGGATGTTTCTTTCCCTCCCTGTCCTTCTCTAGCTCTCTGTCTCGCCTCTCTCTGTCTGACCTTTTCTTCTTCTCTTTCAATTTCCCTCTGCCTTACCTCCTTTAATCTCTCTATCTCTCTTTGTTTTTCAATCTTTTGCTGTTTCACAAACTCTTCTTCTCTCTGCCTGTCAATCTGTCTCTGTCTATCCAACCCTTGCTGCCTATTTTTGTATCTCTCTCTCTTTGTCCTTATCCTTTAAATACAAATATATACACCCTTCACTTAAAAATTCAACTATGATACAAAACCTATACACAACCCATACAGTGAGGGAAACAAGTATTTGATTCTCTGCTGATTTTGTACATTTGCCCACTGACAAAAAATGATCAGTCTATAATTTTAATGGTAGGTTTATTTGAACAGAATAACAACAACAAAATCCAGAAAAACACATGTCAAAAATGTTATAAATTGATTTGCATTTTAATGAGGGAAATAAGTATTTGACCCCCTCTCAATCAGAAAGATTTCTGGCTCCCAGGTGTCTTTTATACAGGTAACGAGCTGAGATTAGGAGCACACTCTTAAAGGGAGTGCTCCTAATCTCAGTTTGTTACCTGTATAAAAGACACCTGTCCACAGAAGCAATCAATCAATCAGATTCCAAACTCTCCACCATGGCCAAGACCAAAGAGCTCTCCAAGGATGTCAGGGACAATATTGTAGACCTACACAAGGCTGGAATGGTCTACAAGACCATCGCCAAGCAGCTTGGTGAGAAGGTGACAACAGTTGGTGCGATTATTCACAAATGGAAGAAACACAAAAGAACTGTCAATCTCCCTCGGCCTGGGGCTCCATGCAAGATCTCACCTCGTGGAGTTGCAATGATCATGAGAACGGTGTGGAATCAGTCCAGAACTACACGGGAGGATCTTGTCAATGATCTCAAGGCAGCTGGGACCATAGTCACCAAGAAAACAATTGGTAACACACTACGCCGTGAAGGACTGAAATCCTGCAGCGCCCGCAAGGTCCCCCTGCTCAAGAAAGCACATATACAGGCCCGTCTGAAGTTTGCCAATGAACATCTGAATGATTCAGAGGAGAACTGGGTGAAAGTGTTGTGGTCAGATGAGACCAAAATGGAGCTCTTTGGCATCAACTCAACTCGCTGTGTTTGGAGGAGGAGGAATGCTGCCTATGACCCCAAGAACACCATCCCCACCGTCAAACATGGAGGTGGAAACATTATGCTTTGGGGGTGTTTTTCTGCTAAGGGGACAGAACAACTTCACCGCATCAAAGGGACGATGGACGGGGCCATGTACCGTCAAATCTTGGGTGAGAACCTCCTTCCCAGCCAGGGCATTGAAATTGGGTCGTGGATGGGTATTCCAGCATGACAATGACCCAAAACACACGGCCAAGGTAACAAAGGAGTGGCTCAAGAAGAAGCACATTAAGGTCCTGGAGTGGCCTAGCCAGTCTCCAGACCTTAATCCCATAGAAAATCTGTGGAGGGAGCTAAATGTTTGAGTTGCCAAACGTCAGGCTCGAAACCTTAATGACTTGGAGAAGATCTGCAAAGAGGAGTGGGACAAAATCCCTCCTGAGATGTGTGCAAACCTGGTGGCCAACTACAAGAAACGTCTGACCTCTGTGATTGCCAACAAGGGTTTTGCCACCAACTACTAAGTCATGTTTTGCAGAGGGGTCAAATACGTATTTCCTTCATTAAAATGCAAATCAATTTATAACATTTTTGACATGCGTTTTTCTGGATTTTTTTGTTGTTATTCTGTCTCTCACTGTTCAAATAAACCTACCATTAAAATTATAGACTGATCATGTCTTTGTCAGTGGGCAAACATACAAAATCAGCAGGGGATCAAATACCTTTTTCCCTCACTGCATTAATGCATTAATACCCACACTCTCTGGCAATATATCTCAACAATAATAACAACACCATTTACTTGAAATTATACTAAAAGTATAAAATAATATAATGTACGTTTTCAGGCAACAACAATGATCATGATGAGAACAACAACTACAGTACTATTTTCCACTGTTAAACAGCTACTACTGCTACCATTACTAGTACTCGTAGCACCAATACTGAATTATAATAGCTGTCTTACATGCTCTCTTATTTTCTCAAACTGGACATGTCTCTCCATTCAGGCTTTTTCTTCAGTTTGGTTCTCTGTTGTTTCTCATAGGCCCTCAGCTTAACCTCTTCCTTGCATCGATTCTTGAAGTCTTCCATCTCAGTGTTCTTCTTGCTCTCAATTTCAAGCAGGGCCTCATTCAGTCTGTCCTCACACTCTTCCTCTATCCTCTGCCTTAAAGCAACCTCAATCTTTCTTGCCATCCTGTGAAGTTTCTCCAGTTCTCTTTTTTTTGCGATCTCGTTCTCTTACTCTTTTCTCTCCCCCTTCTTCTTGCACCTCTCTTTGAGAGTTTCCATAGCCTCCTGTGCTCGTTCGGCGTCGGCTACTTTCTCCTCCTCGATGAGGCGGAGCTCATCTCTCAACCTGTTTATCTCGCTTTCCATGTGTTGGCGGAGAGGGTTGTTGCACCTCGTATTGGCACTGACATTCTCTGCTCTCATTGGTTCATCCATAAGTCCAGTCTGACCTCGACCCACAGGTCAAGATCGCTCGACAGCATACCTTTTCTGGTATAGAACACACCAATCAGTGAGCAGTCATTGATTTAAGCCCCATCCCCATCCCCATCCCCTAACCTGAACCTTGACAAGTTGTGGTGATACTGATGATTTGTCGCCACAGATGGTTTGTTTACATAGCAGGTTAGGAGAACTAACGTAGTAGGTTAGTGTAATTACTAGCTTAATTAATGAATTCAGATACAAGGCCCGGTTGCATAAAACATTTTAAGTCAGTTTTCCCCATATCTTTTCCCTTAAAGTTTCCTTAACTTCAAGTCAGGTGCAAAAAACATTTTAAGGCAAATGTTCCCCTTAAATTAAGTGAAAAAGTTAAGGGTGCCCATGAGGTCCCTTAAGTGCTTAATTCAGTATGGATATCAATGTAAACAGCATTTGTGGAGGTGAATGTTGCTTTCCTCTGTCCTGGTTTCAAAGGAAAATATCTACCAGTTAGCTAGGTAGCAACTTAGCTAAACAATAGAAGGTGCATAATCCATGGCTACAAAGCTAGCTGGCTAGCTAACTACCTACTCTGTTTATTTATTTATTTTATTTAACTAGGCAGTCAGTTCAGAACAAATTCTTATTTACAATGACAGCCTACCAAAAGGCAAAAGGCCTCATACGGGGACGGGGGTTGGGATTAAAAATAAAAATATAGGACAAAACACACATCAAGACAAGAGAGACACCACAACACTACATAAAGAGAGACCTAAGACAACAGCATACCATGGCAGCAACACATGACAACACAACATGGCAGCAGCACATGTTAGCTTGTAAATTAGCTTGACGTGCTAGAAAGTAATAGAAACAAGTTGAGAAAATAGTAACTAAAAGAAACGTGTTTTATTATCTTCTGAATCAATTTGTTTATCCTGTATTGAATGTAGAAGTTCTAGTTTGTAATCTCCCAAAATAAATGCTATCTCTTTTTTATTTTTTATTTTTTTTATGCTATCTCTTTAATGAGACTCGGTCAGTGAATCAGGTAGTCTCCATTGTAACCAGAGACTCTTTCTGCCATACATGCCTTCAAACTACCGTAAAACCCCTTAAATATGCCCTTACCTAAGGAAAATGTTTGAGGGACTCTATGCAACGCCCTTAAACAATTCCCTTAGGTAAGGGAAAATTGTTCCTTAAGGGAAATCATTAAGGGAAACACTTAAGATGTTTTATGCAACTGGGCCCAGGTACTTACCAACACCCTTCTTCACACAACTGACTACACATCTGAATAGCTTTCCTTGATGTCATTCGCATTGTGATGTCATCCCTTATGACAATGGCATCATCCCTCTTGAGTGTCCTCAGTCCGGTGAGCAGTTGCATAAAAGTGAACATTTTCCCCCTTAGAGTTGAACAAAAGCCACATAATTTCCCATGACCTAATTTACCTTCAGAAATCATGGGTTGAAAATCAATGATTTGTCACATTTAAATATTTCCTTTGAAAGTTGCTTAACTTTTATTTTCTGAATATGTTTTTTTACTTACCTTGGCTGTTCTCTAAACAAAACAGACATTTGTTTCAAGTAACTCCTAAGCAACATGTATATCAACTTTAGAATTGACCCCAGCTCTGGCCATAAGTCTACCCAACTTTGAATTCTGACTTTAGTCAACCTTTTTATGCCTGCAGTTTCTCACCTGTTTTCCGCTGTAGTCTCTCTTTATCTAACTGTGGGCTTTGTCTGTGGAAAGTCTGGAAACTGTTCTTTGTGGAATTATGTTTCATGCAATCTATTGCTTTCTGATGAATAGGAGTAGAAATGTGAACTTTCTACACTTAAGAATATTCATTTGAAGTATTTATGACATTTTGTCTGTCAACGACTGTCATGAGTCCTGCTCTATAGGTTTACTTATAGTTTCCTCTCTAAGTGTTACCGTCATTGTGATGTTTGTCCCCAGACGGTGATGACCCCACAGTCAGGTCAGGAGGTCCAGGTAGAGCTGTATGATAAAGACATGGACAAGGATGACTTCCTGGGCAGGTGAGAGGAACTGCTTCTGAGTTCCAAATGTGCACTATGTAGAGAATAGGATGCCATTTGGTTTGCATCCAGGTTGGGTCCTGTACATTTTGTTTGCCATTTTGTTCCCTGTCAAAATGTTGTGTGTTTTCTGACTGTATTTTTCCCTCCTGTGTATAGGTGTAACATCAGTATGAGAGACATCATACACTCCCAGTATACAGACCAGGTAAGGTTTACATGTCTCTCTCTGCTCGTGTACAGCTAGAGACCGTGCTGTTCAGAAAAGCTTTCAAGGACCTATGTGAATTCTGTTCTCCCGTCCACCGGATCTGACAACTCCTGTATATAGCTTTGATTGTTGTCTGTGTACAATGTTGTGTGTTTGGATTGTTTTTATAATTATAATTTGTATTTTGTATTATTTTCTTCAGAGCCTTGGGTGTGAGAAAAGCGCTTTACAAATTAAATGAATTATTATTATTAATGTCTGCCGTTCTCTCTTACATCGAAACACTCAATGTGTGTAATACTTTTAGGTTTTGTACACACGGTCTGATGTGTGTTTCTGTTCCAGTGGTACACTCTGAATGATGTGAAGTCAGGTCGTCTTCACCTGGTACTGGAGTGGGTACCAACAGTATCACAACCAGACAGACTGGATCAGGTCAGTTCTACTTCTCCACTGGTCTCTACAATGTAAATTCATTTTACACCTCATCTCCCCTCTCTGTAGTTTTCCAGTGTTATTTTCCAATATCCTTACCTCCCCTTATTTAAGGACCCCATCCCACCTATCTCTCACTCTCATTTTTGTAACCTTTTGATGGCCTGTTCTGATGTAATTCCAATGTGATCCCATGCTCCAGGTGCTGCAGCTGCAGTCTCTCCAGTCCTACCAGAACAAGGCTGTTCCCTCTGCTGCTCTGCTCTTCATCTACATGGACAGAGCCCACTCACTGCCTGTGAGTCACCTTTCACCTCTTCACCTCAGACACTGTGCCACTTTGAACGTTTGAACTCTGGCTTTGCGTTGTTGTCTAGTTTTGCAGCTGTGATATGGGTTATGTACAGATGTTGATGGTTTATTTTGTCTAGTTGCTCACAATCAGTTTTTGGTTTTGACTGTTGTATTGTGTGGTCTCTGTGTGATTGTAGTTGAAGAAGAGTGGGAAGGAGCCAAAGGCTGGAGCTGAGCTTGTTCTAGGGGAGACAACCTACAGAACCAAGGTGAGATACAGTACCCTTAGAGCTGAAATGCAAGACTTGTAACAGGATTTGCCGTGAAAGTCAACTCCTCTGTCTCTCTGAAGGTGTGTGATCACATCAACTCCCCCCAGTGGTTAGAGGCCTTCTACTTTCTGGTTCGTGACCCCAGAGAGGAGATTCTCATAGTGAAGGTGAGAGTTCAGTCTGCTTCAGGATGGAGTCACTAAACATTGATAATGTTTAATTGAAACATAATGTCACTCACTGTAAACATCTTGCACAGTAAATGCAATTCATCCACACAAATCTCCCATTCTACCCTTTAATCTTTTATTTTCTAATTCACACTTGATTTATCTATTTCTAGCTCTCCAGTGCTTGGGATCAGGCAATGGGTTCTCTGGTGGTACCAGTCAAAGAGCTGCTGTCACAACCAGATCTGGTCCTGGATCAGTGGCTGAGTTTGGATGGAGCCTCACCTGACAGTCAGATTCTACTGAGGGCTGAGCTTAAGGTGAGACACACTCACACAAACGTCTATATCCTCGATTGTGTTCTCTACAGTGCCTATAGAAAGTCTACACACCCCTTTGATTTCTTCACATTTTATTGTGTTACAAAGTGGGATTAAAATGGATTTAATTGTAATTTTTTGTCAACAATCTACACAGAATATTTTATTTTATTTAAAAAACAGATGAATACTAAATAAAACACTAATATAGCTTGATTATAAAAAGTATTCACCCCACTGAGTCAATCAGTACATGTTAGAATCACCTTTTGGCAGCGATGACAGCTGTGTGTCTTCTTGGGTAAGTCTCATAAGAGCTTTGCACACCTGTATTGTGCAATATTTTCTCATTATTCTTTTCAAAATTCTTCAAGCTCTGTCAAGGTGTTTGGGATCATGGCTAGACAATCATTTTCTAGTCTTGCCATAGATTTTCAAGCAGATATAACTGTAACTCGGCTACTCAGGAACATTCACTGTGTTCTTGGTAAGCAATTCCTGTGTAGATTTGGCTTTGTGTTGTAGGTTATTGTCCTGCTGAAAGGTGAATTCCTCTCCCAGTGTCTGGTATAAAGCAGACTGATGCAGGTTTTCCTCTAAGATTTGGCCTGTGCTTAGCTCCATCCCGTTTCTTTTCATCCCCAGTCTTTGCCCATGTCAAGCATACCCATGCTTGCAAATAAGGAGGCAGTTACTCTTTTTTTGTTGTTGCAGTTTTATTTTAGTGCCTTGTTACATACATATGCATGTTTTGGAATATTTGTATTCTCTATATTTGTATTCTTCTTTTCACTCTGTCATTTAGGACATTATTGTGGAGTCCCCTGTAGCTCAGTTGGTAGAGCATGGCGCTTGCAACGCCAGGGTTGTGGGTTCGTTTCCCATGGGGGGCCAGTATGAAAATGTATGCACTCACTAACTCACTAACAGTTACAGTGGGGGGAAAAAGTATTTAGTCAGCCACCAATTGTGCAAGTTCTCCCACTTAAAATGATGAGAGAGGCCTGTAATTTTCATCATAGGTACACATCAACTATGACAGACAAATTGAGAAAAAAAAATCCAGAAAATCACATTGTAGGATTTTTAATGAATTTATTTGCAAATTATGGTGGAAAATAAGTATTTGGTCACCTACAAACAAGCAAGATTTCTGGCTCTCACAGACCTGTAACTTCTTCTTTAAGAGGCTCCTCTGTCCTCCACTCGTTACCTGTATTAATGGCACCTGTTTGAACTTGTTATCAGTATAAAAGACACCTGTCCACATCCTCAAACAGTCACACTCCAAACTCCACTATGGCCAAGACCAAAGAGCTGTCAAAGGACACCAGAAACAAAATTGTAGACCTGCAACAGGCTGGGAAGACTGAATCTGCAATAGGTAAGCAGCTTGGTTTGAAGAAATCAACTGTGGGAGCAATTATTAGGAAATGGAAGACATACAAGACCACTGATAATCTCCCTCGATCTGGGGCTCCACGCAAGATCTCACCCCGTGGGGTCAAAATGATCACAAGAACGGTGAGCAAAAATCCCAGAACCACACGGGGGGACCTAGTGAATGACCTGCAGAGAGCTGGGACCAAAGTAACAAAGCCTACCATCAGTAACACACTACGCCGCCAGGGACTCAAATCCTGCAGTGCCAGACGTGTCCCCCTGCTTAAGCCAGTACATGTCCAGGCCCGTCTGAAGTTTGCTAGAGTGCATTTGGATGATCCAGAAGAGGATTGGGAGAATGTCATATGGTCAGATGAAACCAAAATAGAACTTTTTGGTAAAAACTCAACTCGTCGTGTTTGGAGGACAAAGAATGCTGAGTTGCAGCCAAAGAACACCATACCTACTGTGAAGCATGGGGGTGGAAACATCATGCTTTGGGGCTGTTTTTCTGCAAAGGGACCAGGACGACTGATCCGTGTAAAGGAAAGAATGAATGGGGCCATGTATCGTGAGATTTTGAGTGAAAACCTCCTTCCATCAGCAAGGGCATTGAAGATGAAACGTGGCTGGGTCTTTCAGCAAGACAATGATCCCAAACACACCGCCCGGGCAACGAAGGAGTGGCTTCGTAAGAAGCATTTCAAGGTCCTGGAGTGGTCTAGCCAGTCTCCAGATCTCAACCCCATAGAAAATCTTTGGAGGGAGTTGAAAGTCCGTGTTTCCCAGCGACAGCCCCAAAACATCACTGCTCTAGAGGAGATCTGCATGGAGGAATGGGCCAAAATACCAGCAACAGTGTGTGAAAACCTTGTGAAGACTTACAGAAAACGTTTGACCTGTGTCATTGCCAACAAAGGGTATATAACAAAGTATTGAGAAACTTTTGTTATTGACCAAATACTTATTTTCCACCATAATTTGCAAATAAATTCATTAAAAATCCTACAATGTGATTTTCTGGATTTTTTTTTCTCAATTTGTCTGTCATAGTTGATGTGTACCTATGATGAAAATTACAGGCCTCTCTCATCATTTTAAGTGGGAGAACTTGCACAATTGGTGGCTGACTAAATACTTTTTTTCCCCACTGTATATGTCGCTCTGGATAAGAGCGTCTGCTAAATGACTAAAATGTCAAATGTAAAATACAATGTTGTTGATCAATCCTCAGTTTTTTCGCATCACCACCATTGAACTCTGTAGCTGTTTTAAAGTCACCAATGTTCTCATGGTTTCCTTCCTGTCCTGCAGTTCAAAGCATCTTTGATGTGTCTGGATGGTTTAATAAATAATCCACATAATAATTATTAATTTGACCATGCTTAAAGATATATTCAATATTTGATTTGGTATTGTTACCAATCACTGCCCTTCTTTATGAGGCTTTTGAAAAGCTCCCTGGTCTTTGTAGTTTAATCTGTGCTTGAAATTCAATTATTGACTGAGGGACCTTACAGATGTTGTATGTATGTGGGAGAGAGGAAGGGGTAGTCATTCAAAAATCATGTCAACCACTATTATTTCACACAGAGTGAGTCCATATAACTTATATGATTTGTTAAGCCAAATTTTACTTCTGAACGAAATAAGGCTTGCTTAAACAAAGAGGGTGACTACTTATGCAACAACTATATTTTAGTTCTTTAATTTTTATTAATTTGTAAAAATATGTATATCAATTTGTAATTTTTTGACTATCAATGACAAAAAAACTACAATCCCACTTTGTTATGTAACAAAATGGGAACAAACGTAAAAGGGGTGTAGACTTTCTATAGGCACTGTATACTATCAATCAACATTTTTGAGTGAGGGACAGAATGTGCCATAGAGTACACAAAACGCCACGTTATGTACTTTACCTGCACCTGGCAGTCTAATCTTGTCAAAAAAATACTGGTAAGTTATTAGCGGCATGTTTTTGTTCACAGATCCTGAACTCGAAGATGACTGAGGGTGTTGGGGTACCACAAGGCTCTGTCTCTGGTCCAGAAACTATTATGAGTGGGAGTTACAGTGAGGAGGAAGAACCAAGCACCATTGAGGAGGACCAACACAGTGAGATTCCCTCTGAAGAGTGAGTTGTTGTCTTGGCCCCTCCCAGCATTCAAGTAGTTGAATTGTTATTATAAGTTGATTTCAATTGATGTGCAAATGGCTGAAGTGTATGTCAATTATAAAACCTTTTAGCATATGTGTCTCTTTGTGTGTTTTCAGATCTGTTGCAGTCTCCAGCCAACCCTCTATCTCTGAACCTGAGGAAGCAGAGGTGGTCTTTGAGGTCCCCAAAGAAGACCCCAGCCCTCCTGAGACACTCCCCACACACACCACCCCTGACCCTAGATTTGATACTGAGGTGAGATACAGTATGTGGATGTCTATGTATGCATATCATTAAGCATTCTGTCTGGATTGTATTCAGAGTCAATGTTTTTTTCTGTCACAATCAGGGGTTGGAACTAGTTCAGGGAACAGAACTGAAAACCGGAAAAAGAGACATTTTTCAAGAAACATAATCAGAACCGGGAACGAAAGTTATCTATACTGTTCCGAAACAGAACCGTTATTTTAAAAGCATGGGAACCGGTTAATAACATTATTTTACGTTCCGGTTGTTTTTTTCCAGTCCCACAAAAAACGCAACAAAGCGCCTATGCAAAGCCCTCCCTCTGTCAATCAGAAACTTCTTCCAGTGTGTGTGCGTGTAGGCTGCCTGCCCCTCCCCCTCCGAAGCATAGCTGTAGCCTACTGACGTTACAAGCGTGATTCAGAAGATAGGGAGACAGATTTTTAATTAGAGAAGAATGAATTTACTTTTTCAATGCTACTTTGGGATACTATAGTTATCATATTTCACATTGGATTTATTAACTAGAAAAAGGTAAGACGTGTTTTTTATTCTGGTGCTGCTCTGCACACACAAGCTTGTTAGCTGGCTAGCTAGGTCTGGTCCAACGTTAAAGCAACTCTGAAGTTCAAAGACATTCAAAGTTCCTCTGTAGAAGCCGCTCCTCCGTAGGTATAATTCTGTAGGCCTAATTCAGATAATGCATGTCATCGCAAGATGCCCAGCGCTTCAAGCCAAGCCTCATCCTCCACCCTCTCTCACTCTCTCCCCACCCACATAATTTCAGTTGCATCTCGCACACTACACTTTTCTTTCCATCACGCATGTAAACAACTTACTGAGCTATAGCTTGCCCGCTCCATAGCAAGCTGCATGATTGGTGAAGTAATTTAATGTTGCGCTAGATTTCAGAGGTTTAAAAAGGAACAGAAACTAACGATATAAACCGGTCCTTTTTTGGGGTTCGAACCGGTTCAGAACTTTATTTTGCTGGTGGGAACAGTAGAACGGAACGAGAAAAAATTATGGTTCTGTTCAGAACAAAACAATTGGAAAATAATTTCATTTCCAACCCCTGGTCACAATACACTGAAACCAAGAGTTATGTATTCATGAATCATTGGTTTTGAAATGAATTGCATGGCCAACTACAACTTTATAGCTGTAGGTGAAAGCATTGACATGGGTTTTTGACCAGCAGCTAGCAGAGCCAGAAGAAACTATCACCATCACCCAACAGTCAGTCACAGCAGACACTGAGGAGCTCCAACCCTGGCAGGGGCCAATGGCAGGGTGAGCTCCATTCAACAACAGATGCAGAGAGCTTTGCATGTGCACTGACTTTTTGCATTGATAATCTTCAGTGTGTTGAAGAAACTATCAACATGCTGTGTGTGTGTTCCTTTGTGAATATTCAGATCTGGTACAGAGGACATTGCCAGAGCTACAGTGTCTAGCCTTCCTTTTGTGTCTGTACCTGAGGAAGCTGAGGCCATGCCTACTGTCATCCCTGAAACACGCCCTCCTCACACTACCCCTCACCCAAGCTTTGGCACTGAGGTGGGTGCTTTACTGTAGGGACAACACAAATACTGTATACTGCCTTTAGCAATAGTTTCAACCAAAATATTAGGGGTTGAATAAAAAATATGTCAATACTTTATATTGCTTTGTATTTTGAGAATGCTATTGTCACTGCAGTTTTGTTGTTTGTCCTGTAGGGGGTGCTAAGAATCCATGTACTGGAGGCCCAGGATCTGGTTGCCATGGATAAGCTGATGGGGGGCCTGAAGAAGGGCAAGAGTGACCCCTATGTCAAGATAAACATTGGAGGGGTCAAGTTTAAGAGTCATGTGATCAAGGAGAACCTCAACCCCACCTGGAACGAGATGTTTGAGGTATGGAGGGACTTGTAGTTTACTCAATTAATCTCTGTCGGCTATTGAACTTTGTGCCCATTTGAATGAGCGTTAAAGGTATTGTGCTGTACTGAAGAAAGTTAAAGCAATACGTGTTAGGACAGATTTTTGATATTTTGTACAAGTACTGTATTTGGAGGGCTTCTCTCATGTAAGAATATATCTGAGACATCCAGAAGTGTGTGCCTTTGCTACCTTTCTGCCTTATTATCATGTAATAGTATTCTTTATGTGTGTAGTTTTGTTGTTATTTGTCTTCCCTGATGTATGTGTGTTTCCCCAGACGGTGCTGAACCCCCAGGCTGGTCAGGAGGTCCAGGTAGAGCTGTATGATAAAGATATGGATGCTGATGACTTCCTGGGCAGGTGTGTTGGAACTGGCCCAACTATACACTGTTTAATCATTAACCTGCTATTGATAGTTAAGGAATACATCCCAAATTGCACCCTATTCCCTAAATAGTGCACAACTTTTGACCAGAGTTCTATGGTCCCTGGTCAAAAGTAGTGCACTAAATAGGGAATAGGGTGCTATTTGGGACACACACAAGGTAAGACTGACAGTTTCATGCACTTTGGTCTCATGGTGGATGAAATGTTTGAAATATAAGAAATGGTTCTACTTTTCTACTTTCACATATCAAATATATACACTACCAGTCACACCTACTCATTCAAGGGTTTTTCTTTATTTTTACAATTTATTTACATTGTAGAATAATAGTGAAGACATTAAAACTATTAAGTAACATATATGGAATCATGTAGTAACCAAAAAAGTGTTAAACAAATCAAAATATATTTTTTGTTTGAGATTCTTCAAATAGCCACCCTTTGCCTTGATGACAGCTTTGCACACTCTTGGCATACTCTCAACCAGCTTCATGAGGTAGTCACCTGGAATGCATTTCAATTAACAGGGGTGCCTTATTAAAAGTTAATTTGTGGAATTTCTTTCGTTCTTAATGCGTTTGAGCCAATCAGTTGTGTTGTGACAAGGTAGGGGGTTATACAGAAGTTAGCCCAATTTGGTAAAAGACCAAGTCCATATTATGGCAAGAACAGCTCAAATAAGCAAAGAGAAACGACAGTCCATCATTACTTGAAGGTCAGTCAATATGTAACATTTCAAGAACTTTGAAAGTTTCTTCAAGTGCAGTCTCAAAAAACCATCAAGCGCTATGATGAAACTGGCTCTCATGAGGACCGCCACAGGAATGGAAGACCCAGAGTTACCTCTGCTGCAGAGAATAAGTTCATTAGAGTTACCAGCCTCAGAAATTGCAGTTCAAAGAAATGCTTCACGGAGTTCGTCACAGAAACATCTCAACATCAACTGTTCAGAGGTGACTCTGCGAATCAGGCCTTCATGGCCGAATTGCTGCAAAGAAACCACTACTAAAGGACACCAATAAGAAGAAGAGACCTGCTTGGGCCAAGAAACACTATCAATGGACATTAGACCGGTGGAAATCTGTCCTTTGGTCTGATGAGTCCAAATTTCTAATTTTTGGTTTCAACCGCCGTGTCTTTGTGAGACGCAGAGTAGGTGAACGATGATCTCAGCATGTGTGGTTCCCACCGGGAAGCGAGGAGGTGTGATGGTGTGGGGGTGCTTTGCTGGTGACACTGTCAGTGATTTATTTAGAATTCAAGGCACACTTAACCAGCATGGCTACCACAGCATTCTGCAGCGATACGCCATCCCATCTGGTTTGCGCTTAGTGGGACTATCGTTTGTTTTTCAACAGGACAATAACCCAAAACACACCTCCAGGCTGTGTAAGGGCTATTTGACCAAGAAGGAGAGTGATGGAGTGCTGCATCAGATGACCTGGCCTCCACAATCACCCGACCTCAACCTAATTGAGATGGTTTGGGGTGAGTTGGACCGCAGAGTGAAGGAAAAGCAGCCAACAAGTGCTCAGCAAATGTAGGAACTCCTTCAAGAAAAGCATTCCTCATGAAACTAGTTGAGAGAATGCCAAGAGTGTGCAAAGCTGTCATCAAGGCAAAGGGTGGCTACTTTGAAGAATCTAAAAATCTAAAATATATTTTGATTTGTTTAACACTTTTTTGGTTACTACATGATTCCGTTTGTGTTATTTCATAGTTTTGATGTCTTCACTATTATTCTACAATATAGAAAATAGTAAAAATAAAGAAAAAGCCTTGAATGAATAGGTGTGTCCAAACTTTTGACTGGTACTGTATTTAAATGGACACAATAATGCAATTCCTTTTTGAAATGTTGCCAAAGCATTTGTTTTTTGTGTGTGTGCAGGTCTATGATTAGGCTGAGTGATGTCATTAGTTCCCAGTACACAGACCAGGTGAGTCAGTGTATTCAGGTATTTACTTCTCTTTCTAGCCTGTCTGCTAGAAGGGCACTCCCTTTTATTACTTGTAGGCCTAATGTCAGGTCAAGGCCCTCATGTTGCTACAATATAACTTGTGATTGAGAGGTTAAGCTAAGTTGTCACTCCTTAGCTGAATTTCCCCCCTTTATTTTATTGTGCTACATTTGTAAACAGTCTATTGGGTATATTTCTGTGTTCCAGTGGTACGCTCTGAATGATGTGAAGTCAGGTCGTCTTCACCTGGTACTGGAGTGGGTACCAACAGTATCACAACCAGACAGACTGGATCAGGTCAGTTCCACTCCTCCTTTTTTCAGTTTCTCTCTTATCTCTCAATCTAATTTTCTTTCACTATGAATTTAGTTCAACAATTTCTGTCCTCCCACCCTATCATACAATCATGTATTCCTAGAACTCTTAATGCATAAGACTTACATTCCATAACTCATGAGGCATAACATTTTACATGTTAGTAGTCATTTATCCAGAGTGACTTACAGGAGAATCGAACCAGAGACCTTTCGGTTACTTGTCCAATGCTCTTAACCGCTAGGCTACATGCCGCCCATAACAGAGCACAACATTAGTATTGCAAGATGTTGTTTCAATTGGGGATATAGCTCAGTTGGAGCATGGCGTTTGAACGCCAGGGTTGTGGGTTCGATTCCCACGGGGGGCCAGTATGAAAAAATAAAAAAATAATGTATGCACTCACTAACTGTAAGTTGCTCTGGATAAGAGCGTCTGCTAAATGACTAAAATGTAAATGTAAATGTAATTGAACTATTTTCTCCCCATGTTCCAGGTGCTGCAGCTGCAGTCTCTCCAGTCCTACCAGAACAAGGCTGTTCCCTCTGCTGCTCTGCTCTTCATCTACATGGACAGAGCCCACTCACTGCCTGTGAGTCACCTTTCACCTCTTCACCTCAGACACTGTGCCACTTTGAACGTTTGAACTCTGGCTTTGCGTTGTTGTCTAGTTTTGCAGCTGTGATATGGGTTATGCACAGATGTTGATGGTTTATTTTGTCTAGTTGCTCACAATCAGTTTTTGCTTTTGACTGTTGTATTGTGTGGTCTCTGTGTGTTTGTAGTTGAAGAAGAGTGGGAAGGAGCCAAAGGCTGGAGCTGAGCTTGTTCTAGGGGAGACAACCTACAGAACCAAGGTGAGATACAATACCCTTAGAGCTGAAATGCAAGACTTGTAACAGGATCTGCCGTGAAAGTCAACTTCTCTGTCTCTCTGAAGGTGTGTGAATGTACCAACTCCCCCCAGTGGGAAGAGGCTTTCTACTTCCTGGTTCGTGACCCCAGAGAGGAGATTCTCATAGTGAAGGTGAGAGTTCAGTCTGCATAAGGATGGAGTCACTAAACATGGATAATGTTTAATCGAAACATAATGTCACTCACTGTAAACATCTTGCACAGTCACTGGTAAATGTAATTCATCCACACAAATCTCCCATTCTCCCCTTTCTCTTTTCCTTTCTATATTGAATAAAAATATAAACGCAACATGCAACAATTTCAAAGATTTTACTGAGTTGCAGTTCATATAAGGAAATCAGTCAATTGAAATAAAATCATCAGGCCCTAATCTATGATGTAAATGTAAATGTATGGATTTCACATGACTGGGCATAGCCCCACTTGGCAACCAGGCCCACCCACTGAGGATACACGCCCAGCCAATCAGAATGAGTTTTTCCCCACAAAGGGGCTTTATTACAGACAGAAATACTTCTCAGCACCCCATCCCCCCTCAGACGATTCCACAAGTGAAGAAGCCGGATGTGGAGGTCCCCCGTGGGAATCGAACCCACAACCCTGGCATTGCAAACGCCATGCTCTACCAACTGAGCTACATCCCTGCCAGCCATTCCCTCCCCTACCCTGGATGACGCTGGGCCAATTGTGCGCCACCCCATGGGTCTCCCGGTCGTGGCCGGCTACAACAGAGCCTGGATTCGAACCAGGATCTCTAGTGGCACAGCTACCGCAGTGCCTTAGACCACTGTGCCACTCGGGAGTTAATTACATTCTCTGGCTACAGCTCTGGTGGACATTCCTGCAGTCAGCATGCCAATTGCACACTCCCTCAACTTGAGATATCTGTGGCATTGTGTTGTGTGACTAAACTGCACATTTTAAAGTGATATTTTATTGTCCCCAGCACAAGGTGCACCTGTGTGATGATCATGCCGTTTAATCAGCTTCTTGATATGCCACACATGTCAGGTGGATGGATTATGTTTGCAAAGGAGAAATGCTCACTAACAGGGATATAAACAAATTTGTGCACGAAATTTGAGAGAAATAAGCTTTTTGTGCGAATGAAACATTTCTGGGATTTTTTATTTCAGCTCATGAAACATGGGACCAACACTTTACATGTTGCGTTTATATTTTTGTTCAGTGTAATTCACTCTTTATTTATCTTTCTCTAGCTGTCCAGTGCTTGGGATCAGGCGATGGGTTCTCTGGTGGTACCAGTCAGAGAGCTGCTGTCACAACCAGATCTGGTCCTGGATCAGTGGCTGAGTTTGGATGGAGCCTCACCTGACAGTCAGATTCTACTGAGGGCTGAACTCAAGGTGAGAGACACTCACAAACATGTACTATCAATCAACTTCTTGGAGTGAGGGACAAAATGTGCACAGGCTATACAAAGCGCCACGTTATGTACTTTAACTGCACTCTCCATGTTTTTGTTCACAGATCCTGAACTCGAAGATGACTGAGGGTGTTGGGGTACCCCAAGGCTCTGTCTCTGGTCCAGAAACTATTATGAGTGGGAGTTACAGTGAGGAGAAGGAACAAATCACCAGTGAGCAGCCAGTTACTGCAACCAATGGGGAGGAGCAACACAGTGAGGTGCCCTCTGAGGAGTGAGTTTTTGTCTTGGCCCCTCCCAATATTCATAAAGTTGAATTGCAATTATACATTTATTGCAAATGATATGCAAAAATATGCAGTGTACGCAAATTATAAAACCCTTAAGCATGTGTCTCTCTGTGTGTTTTCAGATCTGTTGCAATCTCCAGCCAACCCTCTATCTCTGAACCTGAGGAAGCAGAGGCGGTCTTTGAGGTCCCCAAAGAAGACCCCAGCCCTCCTGAGACACTCTCCACACACACCACCCCTGACCCCAGCGTTGATACTGAGGTGAGATACAGTGTATGGGTGTCTGTATGCGTAATCTCTCGTGGGAAGATTCTGCATGTAGACCGAAAAATCTGTTTGGACATAATGGGATTTGTGAGATAACGAGCAGCAGTAGTTCCAGTCTTTGGGTTTTTGTCACTGGTTATTTGGACATATGTGGTCCTCTGTAGCTCAGCTGGTAGAGCACGGCGCTTGTAACGCCAAGGTAGTGGGTTCGATCCCCGGGACCACCCATACACAAAAATGTATGCACGCATGACTGTAAGTCGCTTTGGATAAAAGCGTCTGCTAAATGGCATATTATTATTATTATTATTACATATCAGTATTTGGCGAAGGCAGTGCTTAAACTGCTTTACTACGAGTGCTTCGCGTGTTTGCCCACACGGAATTAGAAGGGGGGGGGCTTTGGCTGACAGTTTCCTTTTGCAAGGGTGTAGACTTCGCAAACTGCCGGAACCCTCAATTTCTAACACGTATAGACCCAGAAGTTAATCACGCAGATTACCAAATTATGCAAGATTTAACTTCTGTGTTAACAGGTAGCCTAGCGGAAGGTAGCCTAGCAGTTAAGAGCGTTGGGCCAGTAACCGATAGGTTGCTGGTTCGAACCCCCGAGATGACTAGGTGAAAAACCTGTTGATGTGCCCTTGAGCAAGGCACTTAACCCTAATTGCTCCTGTAAGTCACTCTGGATAAGAGCATCTGCTAAATGACCCAAAAAATATATATAATAGTAATTTATGTATTCAAGAGACATATTATAATTGGTTTTGAAAGCATTGACTGCAGGTGAAAGCATTAGAATGTGTTTTTGACCAACAGATAGAGGAGCCAGAAGAAACTGAGGAACCTATCACCATCACCCAACAGTCAGTCACAGCAGACACTGAGGAGCTCCAACCCTGGCAGGGGCCAATGGCAGGGTGAGCTCCATTCAACAACAGATGCAGAGAGCTTTGCATGTGCACTGACTTTGCATTGATAATCTTCAGTGTGTTGAAGCAACTATCAACATGCTGTGTGTGTGTTCCTTTGTGAATATTCAGATCTGGTACAGAGGACATTGCCAGAGCTACAGTGTCTAGCCTTCCTTTTGTGTCTGTACCTGAGGAAGCTGAGGCCATGCCTACTGTCATCCCTGAAACACGCCCTCCTCACACTACCCCTCACCCAAGCTTTGGCACTGAGGTGGGTGCTTTACTGTAGGGACAACACAAATACTGTATACTGCCTTTAGCAATAGTTTCAACCAAAATATTAGGGGTTGAATAAAAAATATGTCAATACTTTATATTGCTTTGTATTTTGAGAATGCTATTGTGTCACTGCAGTTTTGTTGTTTGTCCTGTAGGGGGTGCTAAGAATCCATGTACTGGAGGCCCAGGATCTGGTTGCCATGGATAAGCTGATGGGGGGCCTGAAGAAGGGCAAGAGTGACCCCTATGTCAAGATAAACATTGGAGGGGTCAAGTTTAAGAGTCATGTGATCAAGGAGAACCTCAACCCCACCTGGAACGAGATGTTTGAGGTATGGAGGGACTTGTAGTTTACTCAATTAATCTCTGTCGGCTATTGAACTTTGTGCCCATTTGAATGAGCGGTTAAAGGTATTGTGCTGTACTGAAGAAAGTTAAAGCAATACGTGTTAGGACAGACTTTTGATATTTTGTACAAGTACTGTATTTGGAGGGCTTCTCTCATGTAAGAATATATCTGAGACATCCAGAAGTGTGTGCCTTTGCTACCTTTCTGCCTTATTATCATGTAATAGTATTCTTTATGTGTGTAGTTTTGTTATTTGTCTTCCCTGATGTATGTGTGTTTCCCCAGACGGTGCTGAACCCCCAGGCTGGTCAGGAGGTCCATGTAGAGCTGTATGATAAAGATATGGATGCTGATGACTTCCTGGGCAGGTGTGTTGTAACTGACCCAACTATACACTGTTTAATCATTAACCTGCTATTGATAGTTAAGGAATACATCCCAAATTGCACCCTATTCCCTAAATAGTGCACAACTTTTGACCAGAGTTCTATGGTCCCTGGTCAAAAGTAGTGCACTACATAGGGAATAGGGTGCTATTTGGGACACACACAAGGTAAGACTGACAGTTTCATGCACTTTGGTCTCATGGTGGATGAAATGTTTGAAATATAAGAAATGGTTCTACTTTTCTACTTTCATATATCAAATATATACACTACCAGTCACACCTACTCATTCAAGGGTTTTTCTTTATTTTTACAATTTATTTACATTGTAGAATAATAGTGAAGACATTAAAACTATTAAGTAACATATATGGAATCATGTAGTAACCAAAAAAGTGTTAAACAAATCAAAATATATTTTTTGTTTGAGATTCTTCAAATAGCCACCCTTTGCCTTGATGACAGCTTTGCACACTCTTGGCATACTCTCAACCAGCTTCATGAGGTAGTCACCTGGAATGCATTTCAATTAACAGGGGTGCCTTATTAAAAGTTAATTTGTGGAATTTCTTTCGTTCTTAATGCGTTTGAGCCAATCAGTTGTGTTGTGACAAGGTAGGGGGTTATACAGAAGTTAGCCCAATTTGGTAAAAGACCAAGTCCATATTATGGCAAGAACAGCTCAAATAAGCAAAGAGAAACGACAGTCCATCATTACTTGAAGGTCAGTCAATATGTAACATTTCAAGAACTTTGAAAGTTTCTTCAAGTGCAGTCTCAAAAACCATCAAGCGCTATGATGAAACTGGCTCTCATGAGGACCGCCACAGGAATGGAAGACCCAGAGTTACCTCTGCTGCAGAGAATAAGTTCATTAGAGTTACCAGCCTCAGAAATTGCAGTTCAAAGAAATGCTTCACGGAGTTCGTCACAGAAACATCTCAACATCAACTGTTCAGAGGTGACTCTGCGAATCAGGCCTTCATGGCCGAATTGCTGCAAAGAAACCACTACTAAAGGACACCAATAAGAAGAAGAGACCTGCTTGGGCCAAGAAACACTATCAATGGACATTAGACCGGTGGAAATCTGTCCTTTGGTCTGATGAGTCCAAATTTCTAATTTTTGGTTTCAACCGCCGTGTCTTTGTGAGACGCAGAGTAGGTGAACGATGATCTCAGCATGTGTGGTTCCCACCGGGAAGCGAGGAGGTGTGATGGTGTGGGGGTGCTTTGCTGGTGACACTGTCAGTGATTTATTTAGAATTCAAGGCACACTTAACCAGCATGGCTACCACAGCATTCTGCAGCGATACGCCATCCCATCTGGTTTGTGCTTAGTGGGACTATCGTTTGTTTTTCAACAGCACAATGACCCAAAACACACCTCCAGGCTGTGTAAGGGCTATTTGACCAAGAAGGAGAGTGATGGAGTGCTGCATCAGATGACCTGGCCTCCACAATCACCCGACCTCAACCTAATTGAGATGGTTTGGGGTGAGTTGGACCGCAGAGTGAAGGAAAAGCAGCCAACAAGTGCTCAGCAAATGTGGGAACTCCTTCAAGAAAAGCATTCCTCATGAAACTAGTTGAGAGAATGCCAAGAGTGTGCAAAGCTGTCATCAAGGCAAAGGGTGGCTACTTTGAAGAATCTAAAATCTAAAATATATTTGGATTTGTTTAACACTTTTTTGGTTACTACATGATTCCGTTTGTGTTATTTCATAGTTTTGATGTCTTCACTATTATTCTACAATATAGAAAATAGTAAAAATAAAGAAAAAGCCTTGAATGAATAGGTGTGTCCAAACTTTTGACTGGTACTGTATTTAAATGGACACAAGAATGCAATTCCTTTTTGAAATGTTGCCAAAGCATTTGTTTTTTGTGTGTGTGCAGGTCTATGATTAGGCTGAGTGATGTCATTAGTTCCCAGTACACAGACCAGGTGAGTCAGTGTATTCAGGTATTTACTTCTCTTTCTAGCCTGTCTGCTAGAAGGGCACTCCCTTTTATTACTTGTAGGCCTAATGTCAGGTCAAGGCCCTCATGTTGCTACAATATAACTTGTGATTGAGAGGTTAAGCTAAGTTGTCACTCCTTAGCTGAATTTCCCCCCTTTATTTTATTGTGCTACATTTGTAAACAGTCTATTGGGTATATTTCTGTGTTCCAGTGGTACGCTCTGAATGATGTGAAGTCAGGTCGTCTTCACCTGGTACTGGAGTGGGTACCAACAGTATCACAACCAGACAGACTGGATCAGGTCAGTTCCACTCCTCCTTTTTTCAGTTTCTCTCTTATCTCTCAATCTAATTTTCTTTCACTATGAATTTAGTTCAACAATTTCTGTCCTCCCACCCTATCATACAATCATGTATTCCTAGAACTCTTAATGCATAAGACTTACATTCCATAACTCATGAGGCATAACATTTTACATGTTAGTAGTCATTTATCCAGAGTGACTTACAGGAGAATCGAACCAGAGACCTTTCGGTTACTTGTCCAATGCTCTTAACCGCTAGGCTACATGCCGCCCATAACAGAGCACAACATTAGTATTGCAAGATGTTGTTTCAATTGGGGATGTAGCTCAGTTGGAGCATGGCGTTTGAACGCCAGGGTTGTGGGTTCGATTCCCACGGGGGGCCAGTATGAAAAAATAAAAAAATAATGTATGCACTCACTAACTGTAAGTTGCTCTGGATAAGAGCGTCTGCTAAATGACTAAAATGTAAATGTAAATGTAATTTAACTATTTTCTCCCCATGTTCCAGGTGCTGCAGCTGCAGTCTCTCCAGTCCTACCAGAACAAGGCTGTTCCCTCTGCTGCTCTGCTCTTCATCTACATGGACAGAGCCCACTCACTGCCTGTGAGTCACCTTTCACCTCTTCACCTCAGACACTGTGCCACTTTGAACGTTTGAACTCTGGCTTTGCGTTGTTGTCTAGTTTTGCAGCTGTGATATGGGTTATGCACAGATGTTGATGGTTTATTTTGTCTAGTTGCTCACAATCAGTTTTTGCTTTTGACTGTTGTATTGTGTGGTCTCTGTGTGTTTGTAGTTGAAGAAGAGTGGGAAGGAGCCAAAGGCTGGAGCTGAGCTTGTTCTGGGGGAGACAACCTACAGAACCAAGGTGAGATACAATACCCTTAGAGCTGAAATGCAAGACTTGTAACAGGATCTGCCGTGAAAGTCAACTTCTCTGTCTCTCTGAAGGTGTGTGAACGTACCAACTCCCCCCAGTGGGAAGAGGCTTTCTACTTCCTGGTTCGTGACCCCAGAGAGGAGATTCTCATAGTGAAGGTGAGAGTTCAGTCTGCATAAGGATGGAGTCACTAAACATGGATAATGTTTAATCGAAACATAATGTCACTCACTGTAAACATCTTGCACAGTCACTGGTAAATGTAATTCATCCACACAAATCTCCCATTCTCCCCTTTCTCTTTTCCTTTCTATATTGAATAAAAATATAAACGCAACATGCAACAATTTCAAAGATTTTACTGAGTTGCAGTTCATATAAGGAAATCAGTCAATTGAAATAAAATCATCAGGCCCTAATCTATGATGTAAATGTATGGATTTCACATGACTGGGCATAGCCCCACTTGGCAACCAGGCCCACCCACTGAGGATACACGCCCAGCCAATCAGAATGAGTTTTTCCCCACAAAGGGGCTTTATTACAGACAGAAATACTTCTCAGCACCCCATCCCCCCTCAGACGATTCCACAAGTGAAGAAGCCGGATGTGGAGGTCCCCCGTGGGAATCGAACCCACAACCCTGGCATTGCAAACGCCATGCTCTACCAACTGAGCTACATCCCTGCCAGCCATTCCCTCCCCTACCCTGGATGACGCTGGGCCAATTGTGCGCCACCCCATGGGTCTCCCGGTCGTGGCCGGCTACAACAGAGCCTGGATTCGAACCAGGATCTCTAGTGGCACAGCTACCGCAGTGCCTTAGACCACTGTGCCACTCGGGAGTTAATTACATTCTCTGGCTACAGCTCTGGTGGACATTCCTGCAGTCAGCATGCCAATTGCACACTCCCTCAACTTGAGATATCTGTGGCATTGTGTTGTGTGACTAAACTGCACATTTTAAAGTGATATTTTATTGTCCCCAGCACAAGGTGCACCTGTGTGATGATCATGCCGTTTAATCAGCTTCTTGATATGCCACACATGTCAGGTGGATGGATTATGTTTGCAAAGGAGAAATGCTCACTAACAGGGATATAAACAAATTTGTGCACGAAATTTGAGAGAAATAAGCTTTTTGTGCGAATGAAACATTTCTGGGATTTTTTATTTCAGCTCATGAAACATGGGACCAACACTTTACATGTTGCGTTTATATTTTTGTTCAGTGTAATTCACTCTTTATTTATCTTTCTCTAGCTGTCCAGTGCTTGGGATCAGGCGATGGGTTCTCTGGTGGTACCAGTCAGAGAGCTGCTGTCACAACCAGATCTGGTCCTGGATCAGTGGCTGAGTTTGGATGGAGCCTCACCTGACAGTCAGATTCTACTGAGGGCTGAACTCAAGGTGAGAGACACTCACAAACATGTACTATCAATCAACTTCTTGGAGTGAGGGACAAAATGTGCACAGGCTATACAAAGCGCCACGTTATGTACTTTAACTGCACTCTCCATGTTTTTGTTCACAGATCCTGAACTCGAAGATGACTGAGGGTGTTGGGGTACCCCAAGGCTCTGTCTCTGGTCCAGAAACTATTATGAGTGGGAGTTACAGTGACGAGAAGGAACAAATCACCAGTGAGCAGCCAGTTACTGCAACCAATGGGGAGGAGCAACACAGTGAGGTGCCCTCTGAGGAGTGAGTTTTTGTCTTGGCCCCTCCCAATATTCATAAAGTTGAATTGCAATTATACATTTATTGCAAATGATATGCAAAAATATGCAGTGTACGCAAATTATAAAACCCTTAAGCATGTGTCTCTCTGTGTGTTTTCAGATCTGTTGCAATCTCCAGCCAACCCTCTATCTCTGAACCTGAGGAAGCAGAGGCGGTCTTTGAGGTCCCCAAAGAAGACCCCAGCCCTCCTGAGACACTCTCCACACACACCACCCCTGACCCCAGCGTTGATACTGAGGTGAGATACAGTGTATGGGTGTCTCTGTATGCGTAATCTCTCGTGGGAAGATTCTGCATGTAGACCGAAAAATCTGTTTGGACATAATGGGATTTGTGAGATAACGAGCAGCAGCAGTTCCAGTCTTTGGGTTTTTGTCACTGGTTATTTGGACATATCAGTATTTGGCGAAGGCAGTGCTTAAACTGCTTTATTACGAGTGCTTCGCGTGTTTGCCCACACGGAATTAGAAGGGGGGGCTTTGGCTGACAGTTTCCTTTTGCAAGGGTGTAGACTTCGCAAACTGCCGGAACCCTCAATTTCTAACACGTATAGACCCAGAAGTTAATCACGCAGATTACCAAATTATGCAAGATTTAACTTCTGTGTTAACAGGTAGCCTAGCGGAAGGTAGCCTAGCAGTTAAGAGCGTTGGGCCAGTAACCGATAGGTTGCTGGTTCGAACCCCCGAGATGACTAGGTGAAAAATCTGTTGCAGTGCCCTTGAGCAAGGCACTTAACCCTAATTGCTCCTGTAAGTCACTCTGGATAAGAGCATCTGCTAAATGACCCAAAAAATATATATAATAGTAATTTATGTATTCAAGAGACATATTATAATTGATTTTGAAAGCATTGACTGCAGGTGAAAGCATTGGAATGTGTTTTTGACCAACAGATAGAGGAGCCAGAAGAAACTGAGGAACCTATCACCATCACCCAACAGTCAGTCACAGCAGACACTGAGGAGCTCCAACCCTGGCAGGGGCCAATGGCAGGGTGAGCTCCATTCAACAACAGATGCAGAGAGCTTTGCATGTGCACTGACTTTGCATTGATAATCTTCAGTGTGTTGAAGCAACTATCAACATGCTGTGTGTGTGTTCCTTTGTGAATATTCAGATCTGGTACAGAGGACATTGCCAGAGCTACAGTGTCTAGCCTTCCTTTTGTGTCTGTACCTGAGGAAGCTGAGGCCATGCCTACTGTCATCCCTGAAACACGCCCTCCTCACACTACCCCTCACCCAAGCTTTGGCACTGAGGTGGGTGCTTTACTGTAGGGACAACACAAATACTGTATACTGCCTTTAGCAATAGTTTCAACCAAAATATTAGGGGTTGAATAAAAAATATGTCAATACTTTATATTGCTTTGTATTTTAGGAATGCTATTGTGTCACTGCAGTTTTGTTGTTTGTCCTGTAGGGGGTGCTAAGAATCCATGTACTGGAGGCCCAGGATCTGGTTGCCATGGATAAGCTGATGGGGGGCCTGAAGAAGGGCAAGAGTGACCCCTATGTCAAGATAAACATTGGAGGGGTCAAGTTTAAGAGTCATGTGATCAAGGAGAACCTCAACCCCACCTGGAACGAGATGTTTGAGGTATGGAGGGACTTGTAGTTTACTCAATTAATCTCTGTCGGCTATTGAACTTTGTGCCCATTTGAATGAGCGGTTAAAGGTATTGTGCTGTACTGAAGAAAGTTAAAGCAATACGTGTTAGGACAGACTTTTGATATTTTGTACAAGTACTGTATTTGGAGGGCTTCTCTCATGTAAGAATATATCTGAGACATCCAGAAGTGTGTGCCTTTGCTACCTTTCTGCCTTATTATCATGTAATAGTATTCTTTATGTGTGTAGTTTTTGTTATTTGTCTTCCCTGATGTATGTGTGTTTCCCCAGACGGTGCTGAACCCCCAGGCTGGTCAGGAGGTCCAGGTAGAGCTTTATGATAAAGACATGGATGCTGATGACTTCCTGGGCAGGTGTGTTGTAACTGGCCCAACTATACACCGTTTAATCAGTAACCTGTTATTGATACTTAAGAGATACGTCCCAAAGGGCACCCTAATCTCTATATAGTGCACTACTTTTGACCAGAGTCCTATGGTCCCTGGTCAAAAGTAGTGCACTAAATAGGGAATAGGGTGCTATTTGGGGTGCACACAAGATAATATTTACAGTTTCATGCACTTTGGTCTCATGGTGGATAAAATGGTTGAAATATAAGAAATTGTTAAACTTTTCTACTTTCACATTTCAAATATATAAATGGTCAAAAGAATGCAATGCCTTTTTGGAGAGTTGCCAAAGCATCTGTTTTTTGTATGTGTGCAGGTTTATGATTAGGCTGAGTGATGTCATCAGTTCCCAGTACACAGACCAGGTGAGTCAGTGTATTCAGGTATTTACTTCTCTTTCTAGCCTGTCTGCCATGGGGCACTTTTCATTGTGAGGTCATTATTGTTGTCACAGCTTAGCTTTATTTTCCATTTGATTTTATTGTGCTACATTTGTAAACAGTCTAATGGGTACATTTCTGTGTTCCAGTGGTACACTCTGAATGATGTGAAGTCAGGTCATCTTCACCTGGTACTGGAGTGGGTACCAACAGTATCACAACCAGACAGACTGGATCAGGTCAGTCCTATTCTTCCTTCTTCAGTCTCCCCATCTCTCTCTTTCCCTGTTATTGTCTTTTCTTGAGATAACCCTCTCTTGCCTCCCCCTATCACTCTCTCTCATACAATCATAGTGTGACATATTCATACTGTTTACATAAGAAGGAAGTCTTCCTGCATCCAGAATGCAGTTGACTCAAATTACATAACTCATATGAGGCTTTTGTATTTATTAGGGATCCCCCCACCCCCCCACCCCCACCTATGGCTGCACCCCTGCTCAGTTAGGGATCCCCCCCCCCATTTTAACTCCTGGCTCCCCATGTTCCAGGTGCTGCAGCTGCAGTCTCTCCAGTCCTACCAGAACAAGGCTGTTCCCTCTGCTGCTCTGCTCTTCATCTACATGGACAGAGCCCACTCACTGCCTGTGAGTCACCTTTCACCTCTTCACCTCTGATGTTGTTATGTTACCATGATCTTGATAGCCTACTATAGTCTGATGTTTGTGATAAACTGTGATGATTAGCCTTGTTGTTTCCTTTGGTAATTTTAGGTCTGTGCACACTTGTTCTCTTGTGTTGTGTAGTTCACCTCACTGTTATAGGTGCAATATGTAGAAATCGCTCCGGCAAATCCAGGTTGCTAAAGTTCGAATAGTTCGCCTAATTTCAGTTTATGTGACAAAACAAACAATGTATAGTGTAGAGAATCATTGTAACATCTAAACCGCTGTGAAATGTATTTTCAATAAGAAAAAATATTGTATTTTCAGCTGTTTGAAGCTGGTGTACAAAACCGAAAGTAAAAGATGCAAAAAACGAAACGTATGATCGGGAAGCATAGAAATAGTGTATAGAACAGATCTACCGCTTCTTAGACTTGCTTTCAATGAGAATGACAGATCTATAACTCACATTTCTAAAAAGTTACATATTGCAGCTTTAATGGTCTTATGATCAAGATTTGATGGTATCAGTTATGTCACTGAGTTACCCATAGTGACATATCTCTGTGTGTTTCTAGTTGAAGAAGAGTGGGAAGGAGCCTAAGGCTGGAGCTGAGCTTGTTCTGGGGGAGACAACATATAGAACTAAAGTGAGATTCTCACCTTACAATATCTTGCTTGTAATTTGTCTTAGATTGACCAAATAACATCTCCTTTCCCTATCTCTCCTCGATCTCTCTGAAGGTGTGTGATCGCACCAACTCCCCCCAGTGGGATGAGGCCTTCTACTTCCTGGTTCGTTACCCCAAAGAAGAGATGCTCATAGTGAAGGTGAGAGGTTGTTTGTTTGTGATTGCAAGCACTTTGCTTCCTGTTTTATTACTGATTTAATGCACAGTACAATTTCTTTATTGTCCACCCATGTGGAAGTGTTGTTCAAGTCATCAGTGTTAATTTTTGACAACAATAACTATGACAAAAAATACTTGTCAACAACCTATTTTTCCTGACTAAAACGATGACGATAATGAGCCGAGGTGCCCTGGAAAATTTTTGTTGATGAAAATGTGACGAGATGAGAATTCCACGTGAGACTAATATACATTTTATTTGACATGACATGCGGACTGAAGCACGAGAGAGAGTAAGAGAGAAAGAGTAAAAATTATTGTTTCTATACTGAACAAAAATATAAACGCAACATGCAACAATTTCAACTATTTTACTGAGTTACAGTTCATATAAGGAAATCAGTCAATTAAAATAAATAAATTAGGCCCTAATCTATGGATTTCACATGACTGGGCAGGGGCGCAGCCATGGGTGGGCCTGGGAGGGCATAGGCCCACCCACTTTGGAGCCTGGCCCACCCACCCACTGGGGAGCCAGGCCCAGCCAATCAGAATGAGTTTTTCCCCACAAAATGGCTTTATTACAGACAGAAATACTCCTCAGTTTCATCAGCTGTCCGGGTGGCTGGTCTCAGACGGTCCCGCTGGGGAAGAAGCCGGAAGTGGAGGTCCTGGGCTGGCATGGTTACACGTGTTCTGCGGTTGTGAGGCCGGTTGGACGTACAGCCAAATTCTCTAAAAATACATTGGAGGTGGCTTATGGTAGAGAAATAAACATTACATTCTCTGGCAACAGCTCTGGTAGACATTCCTGCAGTCAGCATGCCAATTGCATGCTCTCTCAAAACTTCAGACATCTGTGGTATTGTGTTCTGTGACTGCACATTTTAGAGTGGCCTTTTATTGTCCCCACACAAGGTGCATCTGTGGAATGATCATGCTGTTTAATCAGCTTCTTGATATGCCACACCTGTCAGGTGGATGGATTATCTTGGCAAAGGAGAAATACTCAACAATAGGGATGTAAACAAATTTGTGCACAAAATTTGAGAGAAATATGCTTTTTGTGCGTATGGATCTTTAATTTCAGCTCATGAAATATGGAACCAACACTTTACATGTTGCGTTTGTATTTTTGTTCAATATAGTTGAGGTTAGTTAGAAGACAAGTTTCCTTTCATTGGCAGAATTGACATCTTTCAGTTGCATGGTCCTATGGGAAAAATAGTCTTTCACGTGCCTTTTTGCAAACTCCAGGTGTGCTATCATGTGCCTTTTTCTCAGGAGTGGCTTCCTTCTGGCCACTCTCCCATAAAGCTCAGATTGGTGAAGTGCTGTAGAGACTGTTGTCCTTCTGGCAGGTTCTCCCATCTCAGCCAAGGAACTCTGTAATTCTGTCAGAGTGGTCATTGGGTTCTTGGTCACCTCACTGACCAAAATCATTTTTGCCCGGTTGCTCAGTTTGGTCGGACGGCCAGCTCTAGGCAGAGTCTGGGTAGTTCCATATTTTTTCAATTTCCCAATGATGGATGCACCTGAGCTCAATTTGGAGTGTCATTGCAAAGGGGTGTGAATACTTATGTAAATTAGATATTTCTGTATTTCATTTTCAATAAATGTGCTAACATTTCTAAAAACATGTTTTCCCTTTGTCAATATGGGGTATTGTGTGTAGATGGGTGAGAAAAAAAATATATTTAATCCATTTTGAATTCAGGCTGTAACACAACAAAATGTGTAATAAGTCAAGGGGTATGAATACTTTCTGAAGGCACTGTATATGGTTAATTATGGCTGGCATTGGTTACAATCTGTCAGAATATCAATGTTGCCAGCTAAGGTAATGGGATAGTAGGCCTAGTTGAACAAGGCTATCTGAATGTGCACATGATGGAATTAGAGGTAGCCTAAATATTCATTATTTAATAGAAAAAAATGCACTGATAACTGAAACTAACAAAGGATGAAATGACTAAAATGTGACCATATAGCTGCCAAAATTAACACTGCAGTGTATTACAGATTTTGAGAAACTATAGTATGTCTATTGTCAATGGCCCATGTCTCTACATGCAGCTCTCCAGTGCTTGGGATCAGGCGATGGGTTCTCTGGTCGTACCAGTCAGAGAGCTGCTGTCACAACCAGATCTGGTCCTGGATCAGTGGCTGAGTCTGGATGGAGCCTCACCTGACAGTCAGATTCTACTCAGGGCTGAGCTCAAGGTGACACACACACTTCTATATCCTCTATTGTTTCTGTTGAAATGATTACTTACAAAATGTATCTTTCAACAGATTCTGGACTCTAAAATGGTGGAGCTGATAGGTCAGGGAACTCTGCCGTGCGCTGCAGGAAACTGTGGGCAGGTGAAGCTGTCTCTGTCCTATGCCTCAAAGAAGAAGAAACTCACCATCACAGTCCACGCCTGCAGGTCTGTGTCTGAGTGTCTGCATCATTCATATCTCCACCATGTCATATAGCAAGAGCCCAGAGTTTGTCAGGTCACATGATGGTCAGCAAGAACCCCTACATATAGCATAGCTTTAAACTCACTGCTAAAGAAGGGGTCCCTTTATGTAATGATATCCGTATCATACATTTTCACAAAATCCTCATACTGTACCTCTTTCTCTTACCTTACCAATTGACAACACTTTTTAAGGCCATGGATCCTATGTTATATGTTTGTGTATAGGGATCTAGAGTCGTCCAGTAAAGACGGTCTAGACACCTACGTTTCCCTCATGCTGCTGCCAGACAAAAGCAAGGCCACCAAGAGGAAGACAAGCATCAAGAAGAGAGACCTTAACCCAGAATATAACGAAAGGTGTGTGATGTTATCAGCATTGGTGTGTGTGTGTGTCAGGGTTTCTGTTAGGAAAATGTGGCGCCCGACAAGCGACTGGGACATTTTTTATTTATCTGACATTTGAGAAATTGACCGGTCATCCATATGCATTGGGTGTATAGTCCAGAGTGTCCACTCTCGCAGCCAGCGCCATCAATAAACGAGGGATATTGGCCAAATGAGCCACATTTACGTGTCCTTAAAAAACAGCCTGTAACAAATTGCCAAAACACTATTCCTTGTGTTTCAATGTGTAGCATATACAAAACTATAATATAGCCTATTGTTTTATTGGTTTTTACTTTCCTAAAACAATAATTGTCCACCTCACAGTTCAGCTGTCGGAGAAATGAGCACTAAATGCATCAGGGCATTGCATGCATAGGCCTAGGCGTCCACTGTACTTACTACGATATTAATATTTAAAACATCTTATAGAGATAAATATGCCGGCGGCATGCTACGACACCGACATGCATTTCTTTATCCTTGTCAGATAGGCTACTACGTCTGCTATACAGATATAGGCGTACAGAAATACGCTAATTCGTACATTTTTTATCAGAATTTATTTTTATAAAGATAAGTATTATATTGTTAGATTATAGGAGTAACTGGTAGGCCTAAAACATTCATCCTCACCTCAAGTTCAACTGTCAGAGTCAGTTGGAGTGCCGGTGGGCACTGCCTTCATATCATAGGCTTGCAGTATAATTGGCTAATAGCCACACCATACTAACCCTTCACAGAAGTTTCTCAACTCTATTAGGGTAATATCAAAAGTAACTCAAGCCATTGTTTATAGGGAAAATACGAGCAGGATATTATATTGTGGCAAACACAACATTACAGTTGGAACTTAATTGGCCAAAGAAAATGGCTCAACAGAATGAAACAAAACACTTGTCAACTGGTTTAAACCTTCTCAAAAGTTTTGCACAGGCTATATTGCAGCAATTACCAAGGAAGACTAGTGCCACCATACCCAACAAATGACAGCAATAGGCTAATGATATATATTTTACAACAGGCCTACTAATAACCTATCTTAAACTAAATATAGAGCACACAATTAAAAAGACAGATCGAACTTAATTTAGCCAACAAAAATATCTCAGAACGAAACAAAATACGTTTTGTATATTTAAAGAACTGGTTTAGATAGTAAATAGGCCTACAATAATAACAATGATATACAATAATAATAATGATTATAAAAAGTTCAAAAATTGCATCCTACCTGCATAGTGAGTTGCACAGTAGCCTGTATTTGGCCACGCCAACGTTCTTCTCATCTTTATCCACTACAACATAAAAACTTGTCCATACGGAGGACATTCCCCTTGTAGGCTTTTCACTATAGGCATACTCTCTAACTGAAAAAGGCCTCCATCTTCGCAATCAACAGTAGCTCAAGGCTTCTCTCTCGCTCTCGCTGTCTCCTCAGCAGCAGGCATGTAAGGCAGCGTGCAAGGAGTGAGAGAATAGTGCTGAGAACAGTGCCTTCAGAAAGTGTTCACACCCCTTGACCTTTTCCACATTTTGTTGTGTTACAGCCTGAATTTAAAATGGATTAAATTGAGATTTGTTGTCACTGGCCTACACACAATACCCCATAATGTCAAAGTGGAATTATGTTTCTAGACATTTTTGAAATTAATTAAAAATGAAAAGCTGAAATGTCTTGAGTCAATAAGTACTCAACCCCTTTGTTATGGCAAGCCTAAATAAATTCAGGAGTAAAAATGTGCTTAACAAGTCACATAATAAGTTGCATGGACTGACTCTGTGTGCAATAATAGTGTTTAACAGGATTTTTGAATGACTACCTTATCTCTGTACCCCACACATACAATTATCTGTAAGGTCCCTCTGTTGAGCAGTTATTTTCAAACACAGATTCAACCACAAAGACCAGGGAGGTTTTCCAATGCCTCGCAAAGAAGTGCACCTATTGGTAGATGGGTAAAAAAAAGAAAGAAATACATTGAATATTCCTTTGAGCATGTTGAAGTTATTAATAACACTTTGGATGGTGTATCAATACACCCAGTCACTACAAAGATACAGGCATCCTTTCTAACTCAGTTGCCGGAGAGGAAGGACACCGCTCAGGGATTTCACCATAAGGCCAATGGTGACTTTAAAACAGTTACAGAGTTCAATGGCTGTGATATGAAAAGACTGAGAATGGATCAACAACATTGTAGTTACTCCACAATACTAACCTAATTGACAGTGAAAAGAAGAAAGCCTGTACAGAATACAAATATTCAAAAACATGTATCCAGTTTGCAATAAGGCACTAAACATGTCCTGAATAAAAAGCGGTAAGTTTGGGGCAAATCCAACACAACACATCACTGAGTACCACTTTTCATATTTTCAAGCATGGTGGTGGCTGCATCATGTTATGGGTATGCTTGTCATCGGCAAGGACTAGGGTTTTTTTTATGATAAAACAAACGGAATAGAGCTAAGCACAGGAAAAATCCTAGAGGAAAACCTGGTTCAGTCTGCTTTCCAACAGACACTGGGAGACAAATTCACCTTTCAGCAGGACAATAACCTAAAACACAAGGCCAAATATACACTGGAGGTGCTTACCAAGACGACATTTAATGTTCCTGAGTGGCCTAGTTACAGTTTACACTTAAATCGTCTTGAAACTCTATGGCAAGACTTGAAAATGGCTGTCTAGCAATGATCAACAACCACCTTGACAGGGCTTGAAGAATTTAAAAAAGAATAATGTGCAAAGCTTTTAGACTTACCCAGAAAGACTCACAGCTGTAATCGCTGCCAAAGGTGATTCTAACACGTATTGACTCAGGGGGTTGAATACTTATCTAATCAAGATATATTAGTGTTTTATTTTTCATACTTTTTTACAAATGTTATAATTTTTCTTCCACTTTTACATTACAGAGTATTTTGTGTAGATCGTTGACAAAAAATGACAATTAAATCCATTTTAATCCGACTTTGTAACACAACAGAATGCAGCCCGCTACAATTGTATTTATCGGCTTTTCATTTATTTTATCAGCCAAAAGCCGGCAATTACCAGCTAACGGAAACCCTGGTGTGCTTGTGTGTTTGTGTGTGTGTGCTTGTATTATGATCCTCATGGGTACTGGAAATCCCCAAAAGTCCCCACAAGGATAGTAAACCAAGGAAGATTCTCCCTCGTGGGGATATTTCCCAGGTCCCCACGAGGACAAAGGCTATTTTAAGATTAGGGGTTAGGTTTAGGTTTAGGATTAGGGTTAGAATTAGGGTTAAGGGTTAGGGTCATGTTTAGGGTTAGAGAAAATAGCAAATCAATTTTAGGTCCCCACAAGGATTGTGTGTGTGCGTGACTCAGCAGAGTCATTTGAACCTGTGGTATTTGGCGGCAGAATGTAACAGTATTTTCCTCCTGTCTCTCTGTGTAGGTTTGAGTTTGAGCTGTCTGTGGAGGAGGCCAGGCGCAGGCATCTGAGTGTGTCGGTGAAGAACAGCAAAGCCTCCTTCAGGAGCAGCGATCTCATTGGACAGGTCAGCCTGGACTTGTGCTATTATGGCTATACTATGCTCATCATACTGTACTATACTCGTCATACTATACTATATCAGCTGGGTAACTTTGGAGTGAACATGGGTGTCTGTACTTTTTTTACAAGCAATGCTCACCTTTCTCACCTGGTGCAAATGATGATTCATGCTTCTGTTCCACCCAAGCAATATCATGACAGTATTATGTAAATGAAACTTGTTTAGAATGGTATATAATAATACATATTAACACTAAACTGTCTTTTTCAGGTGCAGATAGAGATGGCTCAGATTGACCTGGCCTCTGGGGTCACAGAATGGTGAGTAGTAGCCATAAAACAGAAAGTGAGTGACTAGTGCCTAGATTAAATCCGGAGTGGGGAAGATTTGAAATAGAAATTGAAAGGCACTGTTCCCGCGTTTGTGGAGACCGCAGTCACGGTAAACACTGCATATGTCGGCTTAATCAGAAATTACCTTTAAATCTCAATCAAGCTATTACGCAGATCTTCCGCGCTCCGGATTGAATCTAGCCCTTATTGATTGATTGGACTCACAAAGGTCGGTTGACCGAAATAGCCATAATACACTGACATTTGTACTGGTATTATGTTTGCATCTTCTCATTGGAGATCAATTATTTAATCCTCCTCCTCTCCCCCCCAGGTTTGACTTGAAAGAGGAAGCTGAATAGTGGATCTGTCTGCAGCTGTCATACCTGTTATACCACAGGGTTAAAGTTCACATGTACAGCCGAACTCACGCTGATGCCTTCCACCACTTACCTACCACACCTACCACTGCTGCAGCCTGCCCTGTCCTATCACCTGTCTGTCTGTTAATGTCTATCTCTATATATCCACATATCAATATTATCACTAAAGACAGGGTAACTCAATAGGTCAGACAACCTGGATTGGACCAGGAGAAAGTCTGTATTATATAGTTTCATCTGAAGTTTATACCTAGTATTAATAGATATGAAGTAATAGTTAAGGTCAAAATGTGTATATACTTATGAAAAGGTTGAGGGTTATACCTGCATACTTTAAGAACTGATGAGGGTTGTTATACCTGTTTATGAAAGTTACTTTTGAAGTTTACTTTAATAACTTGTTAGGGTTATTTGAAGATTAAATTAAGGTTATGTGTAGCTCAATTGGTAGAGCATGGCGCTTGTAACGCCAGGGTAGTGGGTTCGATCCCCGGGACCACCCATACGTAAAAATGTATGCGCACATCACTGTAAGTCGCTTTGGATAAAAGTGTCTGCTAAATGGCATATTTTTAAAAGGTTAATGTACTAATGAATGATAGCTACATGCACTTATCTTGCTAGAGTAATATATCAGTAAGGAAGGAGTTAATGTTATCAAGGTAAAGAGACTCTTGCCTGAACCAGGAAGTGAATAAGGACCAGCAAAATGCATTGTCAGGATACGGTATTAGATTGTTATTTGATAATACCAAAGTAACAAACATTATGGAAGATATATCAGGGAATTCCATGATATATTATGGAATGTTGTTTGTTGTGGAATATTGTTAAGTATGTTAATACTAATAGAAGGATAATGAGGAAGTGAAATTTAAAGTACAGTATTATGTTTTAGATACAGTATGAGTCCTTGCATATTCAGTCTCATGTAATCAGATATCAAATCAAATGTATTTATAAAGCCCTTTTTACATCAGCAGATGTCACAAAGTGCTTATACAGAAACCCAGCCTAAAACCCCAAACAGCAAGCAATGCAGAAGTAGAAGCACGGTGGCTGGGAAAAACTCCCTAGAAAGTCAGGAACCTAGGAAGAAACCTAGAGAGGAACCAGGCTCTGAGGGGTGGCCAGTCCTTTTCTGGCTGTGCCGGGTGGAGATTATAACAGTACATGGCCATTAAGGCCAGATTGTTCTTCAAGATGTTCAAATGTTCATAGATGACCAGCAGGGTCAAATAATAATCACAGTGGTTGTAGAGGGTGCAACAGGTCAGTACCTCAGGAGTAAATGTCAGTTGGTTTTTCATAGCCGAGCATTCAGAGGTCGAGACAGCAGGTGCGGTAGAGAGAGAGAGGGAAAGTCGAAAACATCAGGTCCGGGACAAGGTAGCACGTCCGGTGAACAGTACACCTTAACCCAATGCCTTTACTCAGTGTCTAGTCAGGAACCTCCCTTACTAAAAGAGCATTGATTTTACATTGCCTTCCTTTGTCTTATGTTATCACACAGAGACTACTATGGTATATACCAATGATATAAACAGAACTGCCATCCATGCATTATTCGTGTCAAATGCAGCCAATTACCAAAGTCACTCTGATAATATAGATTACGGATACTGACCAGTGAGGTTCAAAAGTGTTACATGGAGTGTTACCAGTTATACATTTCAAACTAATACAAAAAAAGTATTTTATTTTATTTTACTCATTCATTGTCATACTGTTGATGCGTTCATTTACCGAATGCTCCATTCCATTTTGTTACATCATATATTTTTGTTTTTACTTGCCCATGTGTTACTATGCTGCTTTGTGTTTTACATTTGTTTTGATGTGTATCTTTGTTTTATTGCAGCAGATTATTAAAATAATAATTTTACAGCAGTCAAATATTTCAATTTTTTTTAACACATTACAATTGTGCATCTATTCATCCTTTTTTAGCAGGGTTGTGCTCAATTCAGAATGGAACTCCAATTAAATTTGTGAATTTTAATTAAAGTAGTAAACAGGATATATTCTTTGGTATCTGGAAGTGTGACCTGTCAGACTCAATTAAACTTATGTTCTATGACTGAGTAGAATGTCTTTCAATTGCACTGAATTAAATTCTACCTCCGGTTACTCAAATTCTACATCCTGTGGGGTGTGGCCAATTGAATTTGAATTTCAACTCATGAGTTGAATGGGAGTAAATTCCAAAATTCTTAATTGAGGACAACCCTGCTTTCTAGAACAATATTCCATTGTTATGTTTTTGCGAACATGAAAATACAATTTTGGACTGAAAAAGAAAGATGATCATAAAATCACAGTGTGCATCGTGGCAGTCAAATAAACACTTTTTGCACCCTAAGAGTGATTTGTGGTCTTATCGATCATACATATATTTCATTTACATTTCAGTCATTTAGCAGACGCTCTTATCCAGAGCGACTTACATGAGCAATTAGGGTTAAGTGCCTTGCTTAAGGGCACATCGACAGATTTTTCACCTAGTCGGCTCGGGGATTAGAACCAGCGACCTTTCGGTTACTGGCACAACGCTCTTACCCACTAAGCCACCTGCCGCCCATATTTGGGTTACTAGATTTTAATGGTTATAAAATACTCCATCTAGTGTAGTCTTACTATCATGATAGCGATCAGCGGTAACTAGACAACCAATCTGTAGCCCTGAGAAGTGGCAGCTCCGGCCAGTGAGGTCACGGCCCTTTCCCTCCTGAATACCTGGACCACAACAACCTGATAAGTCAACTTGCAGCGTCCAAAATACCTTTTCTGTAAAACTGCCTTTGTCAAGGTGTCCCCCTCCTCTCCGAACTAGTAGCTAGCTGGAAATGCAGGGTTAGTCACGCAACACTTGGCAAAAAAAATACATGCCACCATTAGGCACACCTGGCATGGCAAGCGCCCTGGCAAAAGCGCCCCGGCAAGCGTGGGAACCTAGCAAACTAAAATATAGACTAAGTTAGCTAGCTAGCTAGCAGTGAATTAAAAGAAACAAGAAAATGGTGCCGTCTGGTTTGCTTAATATAAGGAACTTTAAATTATTTATATATTCACTTTTGATACTTAAGTGTATTTTAGCAATTACATTTACTTTTGATACTTACAGTGGGGGAAAAAAGTATTTAGTCAGCCACCAATTGTGCAAGTTCTCCCACTTAAAAAGATGAGAGAGGCCTGTAATTTTCATCATAGGTACACGTCAACTATGACAGACAAATTGAGATTTTTTTTCTCCAGAAAATCACATTGTAGGATTTTTTATGAATTTATTTGCAAATTATGGTGGAAAATAAGTATTTGGTCACCTACAAACAAGCAAGATTTCTGGCTCTCACAGACCTGTAACTTCTTCTTTAAGAGGCTCCTCTGTCCTCCACTCGTTACCTGTATTAATGGCACCTGTTTGAACTTGTTATCAGTATAAAAGACACCTGTCCACAACCTCAAACAGTCACACTCCAAACTCCACTATGGCCAAGACCAAAGAGCTGTCAAAGGACACCAGAAACAAAATTGTAGACCTGCACCAGGCTGGGAAGACTGAATCTACAATAGGTAAGCAGCTTGGTTTGAAGAAATCAACTGTGGGAGCAATTATTAGGAAATGGAAGACATACAAGACCACTGATAATCTCCCTCGATCTGGGGCTCCACGCAAGATCTCACCCCGTGGGGTCAAAATGATCACAAGAACGGTGAGCAAAAATCCCAGAACCACACGGGGGGACCTAGTGAATGACCTGCAGAGAGCTGGGACCAAAGTAACAAAGCCTGCCATCAGTAACACACTACGCCGCCAGGGACTCAAATCCTGCAGTGCCAGACGTGTCCCCCTGCTTAAGCCAGTACATGTCCAGGCCCGTCTGAAGTTTGCTACAGTGCATTTGGATGATCCAGAAGGGGATTGGGAGAATGTCATATGGTCAGATGAAACAAAAATTGAACTTTTTGGTAAAAACTCAACTCGTCGTGTTTGGAGGACAAAGAATGCTGAGTTGCATCCAAATAACACCATACCTACTGTGAAGCATGGGGGTTGAAACATCATGCTTTGGGGCTGTTTTTCTGCAAAGGGACCAGGACGACTGATCCGTGTAAAGGAAAGAATGAATGGGGCCATGTATCGTGAGATTTTGAGTGAAAACCTCCTTCTATCAGCAAGGGCATTGAAGATGAAACGTGGCTGGGTCTTTCAGCATGACAATGATCCCAAACACACCGCCCGGGCAACGAAGGAGTGGCTTCGTAAGAAGCATTTCAAGGTCCTGGA